AGATGGATTCCCTCTCCATTAAGTTTGATGGTACTAATTTTGCCATTTGGGAGTTTCAGTTTCGTAATTTTGTTGCTGGTAAAAGATTGCTCCCGATCTTGACGGGAGAGCTCAAGCCGCCTGGTGCTGATGCGGCTGCCGCTGATGTTGCTGATTGGAATGCGGGCAATGCGCAGCTTATCACGTGGCTTGTCGGGGCTGTGGATATGCCCACCGCGCTTAGTCTCCGCCGTTTTCAGACGGCCCATGAGATGTGGACTCACATTGGCTCAACTTATGCGCAACATAGTACTTCTCGCCAGTTTGAATTGGAAACACAAATTGGACGCCTGGCTCAGGGCGATCGAGATGTTCGAGGTTATTACCAGGAAAGTCTTCATCTGTGGACCGAGTATGATCTGTTGACGACAAATTTGGTTCCTGCTGCCGCATCTGCTGCGGTGATTGCCGAGAGGACTCGAACTCGAGTTCTTCAATTTTTGGCAAAACTTAGGTCGGAGTTTGAACCCATCCGGGCTTCCTTAATTCATCGTGGTGTCACTCGGATTGAGGATGTGGTTGCTGAGTTGCTTCGAGAAGAGACCAGGTTGAAGAGTCAATCTCAGATTGACAATGCTAGCTCCCAATCCGCGGCTGCCTTTGCGGTGGGTCGCCCTGCTGCGGCATCTCGACCCCAGTTCACTCGACCGAATCCTGGAGAGATCATATGTCACTTTTGCCGTGAGCCCGGTCACATTAAGATCCATTGCAAAAAGCAGAATTTTTGTAATTATTGTAAACGTACCGGTCATATCGTTCTTGAGTGCCCTACTCTTAGCAGGCGAGGCAAGCTTCGACCAGCTTCTTCCACGGGATCCTCGTCCCATCGCACAGCCTATCCAGTCACTCTCGAGACCTCGGATCCTGCTGGTTTAGCGCCTGGTCACTCTGGGTCGTCCCTCCTGTCTAATCAGCTCCGCCGCCTAGTTCAAGAGGCTATGCAGGACGCGCTCTCTTCTGCTTTTGCCCCTACAGTTTCGTCGGGTAAGTCCTCTCCTTGGCTCTTAGACTCAGCTGCGTTTAATCATATGACCCGCGATCGGCATAGTTTTGTGAATCTCCGCCCTGTGGAGACCATGCGCCTTCAAGTGGCAAATGGTGAGACAATTCCTGTGGATGGTTCGGGTATGGTCACGACGGGTTCGATCACTCTTCCCCGCACCCTCTATGTTCCACAACTTCGTCCTAATTTAGTCTCAGTAGGCCAGCTGACTGACGATGGTTGCGATGTCATGTTTGACTCGAATGGTTGTGTTGTGCAGGACCGGATGACGGGGAAAGTGATCGGGCGGGGAAGTAAGCTTGGGAGGACTTTTGTTCTTGACCAGTTTTGCCGTGGGAATGATGATGGGATACAAGGAGGTGCTGGTCACGAATGCATGGGTGGTGGAGGTGCTGGTCACGAATGCATGGGTGGTCGACGTGAAGTTCCGAAATGGGGGGGGGGGGGTGCAGAACCAGAAACTTGATGTTGTTTTTCCAGTTTATGTTTCGAATAATTCAGTTGATACTTCTTTGTGGGAATTATGGCATCGTAGATTGGGTCACCCTCATTCGGGCAGATTAAAGACGATGTTTAGACATAATTTATTGCCGGATAAAATAAATTTGTCAAAGTTGGCTGGTTTGTCAGATTGTGTGAGTTGTGTTGAGGCTAAGACCTCACAGCTGTCGTTTTCGGAGAGCGACACAGTTTATGATGGTCCTTTTGACTTGGTTCATACGGATCTCTGGGGTCCGTCACCAGTCACTTCGAGGCTGGGTTACAGATATTTTGCATTGTTTGTTGATCACTACACTCGATTTACTTGGGTATATTTTCTGAAACAGAAATCAGAGCTCGTTTCCGTGGCCAAGGAGTTTATTCAGATGGTCCGAACTCAATTTGATAAGACAGTCAAGGTTTTGAGGTCAGATCCCGGGGGAGAATTTGTTTCGAATGATCTTCTATTATTTTTTAAATCCGTAGGCATTCTCCCACAGCAGTCGTGTCCTGGAGTATCTCAGCAGAACGGTGTGGTTGAAAGGAAAAATAGACATGTCCTGGAGCTTACTCGAGCTATACTTTTTCACTCTCATGTGCCGACAGGGTTCTGGGTTGAAGCGGTGCAGGCTATTATATATTTGATCAACCGTCAGATCACACCTCTGTTGGGACAACGATCACCATTTCAAGTCTTGTATAACAAGCTTCCGGATTATTCGTTCCTGCGGGTTTTTGGCTGTACTTGTTATGTTTTGTTACCCAGGAAAGAACGCCACAAACTAGCTCCTAAGGTGACACGGTGCGTGTTTGTTGGATACAGTGACAAACACAAAGGGTATCTATGTTATGATCCGATTGGTCGGCGTATGCGAATTGGGTACCACGTCAAGTTCGTTGAAACAGAAATGTATTATTCTACCTCTCATGCCGAGGCGAGCTCTGCTGCGTCCTTAGAATTCCTCAATGTTCTACCCGATTTTGAGACCCCAATTATGGACATTCAGCCCTTGCAGGATACCACTAGTGAACCTCATACGCCCAACATGTCTCACTCAACCAGCTCCTCTAGTTCGTTGTCTTCACCTAGCTCGACAAGTGGTGCTGTCTCTTCAACACCAGGCTCCTCCTCAAGCTCGAGTTCGAGCAGCTCCTCTGAGGCGGGGAATAATGATTCCCATTCCGCAATTCAGCCCCTTGTGCCATTACGTCGCTCTTCTCGTGCAACGTTGGGCCAACCGCCATTACGTATGCAAGATTTCATTAGTTATGCGGCCCTACCAATATTTATTCCACAGAGATATTCCCAAGCTGTGGGTGACCCTCGATGGAATGCTGCAATGCGAGTGGAAATGGATGCTTTGGAGGAGAAGAAGACTTGGGATCTAGTCCCGCGTGAAGAGGGTATGTCAGTAATTGGCAGCAGGTGGGTCTATAACATTAAGATGCTGCCAGATGGCGAGATTGAGCGCTTTAAGGCTCGAGTTGTGGCACAGGGCTTCAAACAAGAATATGGGATAGACTACGATGAGACATTTGCTCCGGTTGTGAAGATGCAAACGGTTCGGTGTGTTTTTGCAGTGGCAGCAATGAAGGGATGGTCTTTGTTTCAACTGGATGTTAAAAATGCCTTCCTCCACGGTGATTTGAAGGAGACAGTCTATATGGAGCGCCCTCCAGGTTATGACAAAGGTGATTCTACGATGGTGTGTAAGTTAAATCGCTCCCTATATGGTTTAAAACAGGCTCCCCGGGCGTGGTTCGACAAGTTTCATGGGACTATCTTACAGGCTGGATTTTCTCAGAGCCAAAATGATCCTTCCCTTTTTACTCGAGAGACGGTTGATGGTATAGTGGTCTTATTAATTTATGTTGACGACATGATCATTACCGGGAGTGATGCCGGTGGGATTAGAGAAGTTACAGATGCTTTGAGAAGTGCCTTTAACTTGAAGGAAATGGGAGAGGTTACTTACTTCTTGGGGCTGGAAGTTAGACGCTCCTCCCAGGGTATTTTCGTGTCTCAACGGAAGTATATTTTGGACCTTTTGGAGTCTTCACAGTTTGCGGATTGTGTTCCATGCTCTACTCCCATGGAGCAAAATCTTAAACTGACTCGAGATGGGGGGGAAGTGTTGGCAGATCAGTATCAGTCGGTGTATCGAAGCTTGGTAGGCAGCTTAATTTATTTGACTCATACAAGACCAGATATTTGTTATGCCGTGCAGGTTGTGAGTCAATATCTTGGAATGGCTACCAAGCTTCATCTTGCTGCCGTCCACCGACTATTGAGGTATCTAAAACAGACACAGGATGTTGGAATGTTCTTTCCGGCTACAGGAGAACCTCAATTGGAGGCTTTTGCTGATGCAGACTATGGTGGGTGTTTGGATACACGGAAGTCAACGTCCGGGTGGTGTGTTAGGATTGGCCAATCCTTTGTGTCATGGAGATGTCGAAAACAGGATCGGGTATCTAAGTCATCGACTGAAGCCGAGTATCGGTCTATGTCAGAGGTGAGTTCTGAGTTGGTTTGGCTCCATCGACTCCTAGGAGAATTGGGTGTTAATTGTCGAATCCCAATGCGTATATATGGGGATAACACTAGCGCAATACAGATAGCAGTTAATCCTGTCTTGCATGATAGGACAAAGCATATTGAAGTTCATGTTCATTACATTAGACAATTGGTGGCAGAGGGAAAGATACAAGTTGCGCATCTCTCGACTGAAGACCAGACAGCAGATCTTTTGACGAAGGCGGTCTCATCGAGCAGGCATTGGTATCTCTCATCCAAATTGATGTTGCGTACCGCACATCAATTTGAGGGAGGGTGTTGAAGTTTATTACTTTGAGTACCAACTTGTATTTTACCAAAAGCCTTATTGTCTACGTTTTGGGCTGCTGCTGTGTTTTCCCTATGTATATATAGCTGAACAAAACCTGTACTTAGGTTAAGTCTATTTTTGGTGTTAGTGAAACCCTTTGGAGAGTGCCGTCTCTCCCGTGGATTAGTCCTGAACTTCAGGGATACCACGTTAAATTCTTGGAGTTCTTCGTGTTTGGTTTGGTATTCTTTACAGGGTTGTCCATTCGTGATGCTCGTTTCGTGGTGTAAAAGAGTTGCTGCCTTTCGCATTAAGACACTAAAGTTGCATAGATGTGGGCTGCATTTCAAGAACAAATATTGCAGCCGAGCTGTGATTGCAAAAAAGTGTCATAGAAGGATTAGAGCACATCCACAATGGAGGCTTAAGGACATAAGGGAGACCATTAAAGAAGACTTGGGCTATGGTGTGAATAGGATGACTTGTCACGTGCTAAGAAGATCGTGATGCATTTGACTCAAGGATGCTATAAGGATGAGTATACACTTCTACGGACTTATGTCGAAGAATTGAGAAGAACTAACCCGGACACAACTGTCCGTATCATGGTTAATCGAGATAATCCTGAAGGGAAGCCGAAGTTCCAGAGAATGTATATTTGCTTTGGTGCCATGAAAAATGGGTTCTTAGGTGGCGGCAGGAAGATCATAGCATTAGATGGTTGCTTTCTTGAGGGTTTATGCAAGGGAGAGTTACTTGCCGCTGTTGGGAGGGACGCAAATGACCAAATGTACCCTATTGCATGGGTAGTGGTTGAAGTTGAGTTGAGAAGTTCTTGGGATTGGTTTCTGAAAGAGTTAAAAGACGATTTATGCATTGAGGAAGGGGCTGGTTGGGCCTTCACTTCAGATCAAATGAAGGCAAAGATTATCTGTTTTTATCCAAATTATGTTAATGATGTTGGTTCCTCTTAAATTGGATGTATCATGAAGTGCATACTGTTTTCCTTTTTCACATGTTGGTTCCTATTTAAATAGCTAACTAATACAAATAGGTAGATGAATGAGATAAACTGCAAGTGGGAATATCATTATATAAACACAAGGAGCAGCCTTTGTGTAATGAGTTAGATACCTTAACTTTGTAAATCTAGGAGCAGCCTTTAAGGATACAATAGTCGATCTTTTTTGTAGTGAGTTCTTGAATTTTTTTAATTAGTTTTCGATTCATATAGTTTTGCCATTATAATGATTAACTTTGAAATGTTTGCTTTAGGGTCTTGTTCCAGCAATAGTCGAACTCTTCCCTAATGCTGAGCATCTATTTTGTGCACGACATATATACAGCAATTGGAGGAAGAAGTTCAGGAATCGAGCATGGGAGAAGATGTTTTGGGCATGTGCCAAGGGACCACTCCAATTTCATTTGACAGAGCATGGAAAAGATCATCTACTGAAAATAAAGAAGCTGCAACTGCATTGTTGTCAATAGATCCAAAACACTAGTGTCGATCTTATTTCTCAACAGAGGTAAAATGTGACACGGTTGATAACAACATGTCTGAGTCATTCAATGCTTCCATCTTAGAATCTAGATACAAAGCCATCTTCAGCATGTTAGATGATCTTCGTGTTATGGTTTTGGAGATGGTTGCCACGAAGATGACATTAGGGAATAAGTGGAATGACTTATATTGCCCTAAGATATTACAGAAGTTCAATAAGAATGCTACAGAAAGTGACTTTTGCCACATACTGTCAAATGGACAACATGGTTATGAGGTAAGGTTGGTAAAAAATATGAGGGGTATGTTGGTAAAAAATGATTAACATCAAAGTCCATGAACAATTCCCACCTAAAGAGGCGGAATTTTCAAGTTCTTGGGGCCCACGGATTTGGACCCTTAAAGTCCATGGGTCCCACGGATTTGTTACCTGATATGATCCAAATTAGATCAATATACAAGTCGACATTGTGTGATCAAGAAGACACCTCAAACACTAACAAAAATTATGATTTTTGCCCAAGTCTTTTTACAGTTTCAGGAGACCCACTTTGGAGGCTTGGTTCTTTCAATCTGTTTGATGAAAACTCACGTTTGATGGTTCGTATTGAATATGGGAACGTTTTCTACACCATGGAGTGCTTGGAAGTTCGAGGCAAAGCTTAGAAGTTCACTTTTCAAGCTTCTCAAAGTGTTAGCTCAAAACCGGAAAGCTGTCCCAAATTGTTTGTATGGAAGCGAGTTCGAGATGACGACTTTGAGCTTCAATTCGACGAGCTTGGGGAAGAATCGAGTTTCCAAGGTGATAGCTGGAAGGGCTCGAATGAGGAGGCTAAAGATCGCTTTGAGACTGGAATTTTTGCATTGAAGACTAAGTAATCCGAATCCTAGTCGGATTAGGATTAGTAGACAGTTTAAGTTTAATTCGTTTCTGTGTTGATTTTGGATTCTTTTTTCAAGTTAGATTGTAATTGGGACTTCTTCACGAGTTCTTAGGATTCATTAGGTCTATTTAAGTCGTTTTAATTCGTTGTAATTATTAGATTCTGTTCGATTTAATACAAACTGGAGTTTGATTCACAAGCTTGTTGCTTCGTGAGTTTGAGAGTGCTTTAGGGCGAGACCTAGGCTGCTTGAGTGCTTGTATCGTTCAGCTAACCCGCTGATCGTGGCCAGGATTCTTCCTGTAGTTTCGAGCCTTTCTCCCTTTGTGAGGATTGCACGAAACTTCCATCCCACACAAGAACACCAAACCCTGTTTTTGTGTTCTCCATTACCCGAGTTCAATCTCTCTTGTGATTGGATCCATCGAACCCATTTCGGGCTTATCAAGTGGTAATCAGAGCCTAGGTCATACACAGTGGACAGGACGGAGAAGCTCGTTGTTGGGACAGCGCGTTGGACAAGGTCGAAGGGTCCCGTTTCCAATGACCCTGAAGCTGTACGCCGAAAACTAGAGCACGACGACGAATTAAATTCTGAGGTTCAAGTAGACAATCAAGAAATGGTGGTACAACAGATTGACATAAATGAGTTGATGCGACGATTTGACATGAACTTGAACCAATTCAGGCAGGAAATCAACCAAAGAATTGATGCAATTGTACGGCCGGAAAACAGAGCTCGTGAAGGGGAAGTTTGCGACGACGGAAATCCGGCGTTGGTAGATCAAATTGTGGAGATCCGCCGGCTCGAGAATGACGAGGCAATCGTGATGACGAGCCAACAATTCCGTCTGGAATTAAGTTGACTGTGTCGGCATTTCAAGGAACAGCGAATGCCACAGCGTACCTGGACTGGGAACGAAAACTGATTTTGTTCTTTCAGTGTGGCAATTATTCAGAGTAGTAGAAAGTAGCTTTGGCCACCTATGAGTTGGTCGATCACGCTGCTCAGTGGTGGGAACAGATTCGTCTCCGACGATGAAGGAACCTGCAACTAGAGGTGACGAATCGGAATGAGCTACGTGGGTTAGTACGAGAACTAGGGCTGAAAATTACCCTGACCCATCCCTGAAGGGTCAAGATGTATAATTGACCCGTCCTGTCCCTATCTCCTTCTTGACCCTGTTTGACCCTCAAGGGATAGGACGGGTCGAGTCAGCGGGTCGACCCTAATCTACACACTACTTTGTTTACAAATTATGTTTTGGTACCCAAAATTATTTTTTCTTATAATTTAGTACCTAATTTTTTTTACAAATAAGTACTAAAATTTTGATGGAAAATTACATTTTGATACCCAAAATTTTTTATTTTTGCAATTTAGTACCTAAACTTTTATAACTTTTACAAAGAGGTCCAATGCGGTATGAGATATTTGTTGCTGCTAAGGGTCACAAGGTCAAAAAGTGACCCGTCCCGACCCTTATAGGGTCAAAAGCTGACCCGTCAGTAAACTGACCCTAGAGACAAACTGACCCATCTCGACCCTCAGGGATGGGACGGGTTAGTGGGTTTTCAGGGTCACACTTACACCCCTAGCGAGAACGTTTTGTTCCTGAATATTTCCAGCGTGAGCACGAGACCTTACAAGGAATTCGACAGGGGGCACGCAGTGTGGAAGATTATTATTGAGAACTTGAGCTGCTGCTAATGCGCACCAATGTCAGGGAGGATCGAGAAGCAACGATCACGCGGTTTCTCCACAGATTGAATAGAGAAATTTGACAAGAATTGGAGCTGCGACCCTTCTTGGATCTCGAGGAAGCTGTGCACCTTGCTGTGAAGATAGAAAAGCAGCAGAAGATATCGTTAGGACGACATTTTTCCCTGGCGGTGAAGACGACGACAGAGGCCAGTCTCGAGACCAATACATCTCCAACGAAGCCTGTAATTTCCAAATTGGTTTAGAGAAACACTAATCCGACGCCTCCAGAACGCTCCAGAGGAATCCAGTATTTCAAATGCCACCAGTGCTCCAATTTGAAAACTCTGGTGATCAGATAAGGGGCTTACCTTATCGACGACGAACAATCCGAGGTCAGTGATGAAGAAAAGGCTGACGAGGAGGTTGAAATGGAAGCAGCACCTCCGGGGAAACTTCTAGGGGTCAGCAGGAGGACTCTTACCCTTGAACATGTTCAGGATTTGAGTCAACGAGAGACCTTGTTCCACTTTCGCTGCCTTGTTTAAGGTAAGCTTCTGTCATTGATCGTCGATGGCGGGAGTTGTGCAAACGTCATTAGTGAGGATGCAGTGAATAAACTTGGTTTAAGCACGACGAGACATCCTGAACCCTACAATTTACACTGGCTAAATGATTATGGGGTGATTCGGGTGACAAAATGAGCTAAAGTTCAATTCGAGATCGACAGATACAAGGATGAGCTCAAGTGTGACGTAGCTCCGATGCAGGTCGCTCACGTACTGCTGGGAATACATGCTCAAACAGTAGAAGGTTTGGCATCAAGGGAGACAATACATGCTCAAACCAATGTTGCCGGAGGAAGTGTTGGAAGACCGAAGACAATTGGAGGCCGGTCAACGACGATCGAAGGGTAAGTCTAGTGGAGAGCCGAATAACAATCCTCGTGGAAGCAATGGGGTAATCCAAAAGCTGATGCTTACTGGATATAAGAAGGCGAGGAAAGTTCGGTGACGACGACCCTGTAAACCGTCGCCGGAGCAGGGTAGAAGAGAGGGTAAGTAGGTCGGGACAACTGGGGAAGATTTGAGCCTTGCGGCCACTACAAACACGTTACCCAACACCTTAGGAAGCTCATCGACACCCTCAATTGCAGCTAATATACCTGGATTGCTGAATCGAAATCGACCAGGAATCGCTCTGGAAACGAGCAGACTCTACCAAAAATTTGGTCTATTGGTTGGTACCGCTGAGCACGATTCGACGTTAACTGGAATTGCAGAATCTTTGCAATGGATGCCCGAAGCTGTAGGAAGCTTCAATTGCAACCAAAGATCTCTGTGGAAGAAAATTCCAAATCAAATTTAGAATTTCTGGGTTTTGAAATTTTGAACGTCGACACTGGCGGGAAAGACGCGAACAACGATTCGACGAAGGGAACGACGAATCGAGCCACGAGGTCCACCACATACTTCAATTCGCAGCACGAGGAAGCCACTAGTGACATTGAATTGTACTGTGGATCCCTCAATAAGAAAGCTCCAACTCGAGGACTGAAGAACGAAGGCCTAAATTCCCAGAAATGGCAGTTTGCGAGGGTCTCTTTCTATCCAATTTGGGATCGATTTGCTGAAGCTTTTGAAGAGCGAAGGGTCAAAGCTTTGAGGTCAAAGATTTTTTATGGGGGACGGAATGATATGATCTAAATTGGATCAATATACAAGTCGACATTGTGTGACCAAGAAGACACCTCAAACACTAACAACAATTCTGATTTTTGTCCAAGTCTTTTTATAGTTACAGGAGACCCACTTTGGAGGTTTGGTTCTTTCAATCTATTTGATGAAAACTCACATTTGATGGTTTGTATTGAATCTGGGAAGGTTTTCTACACCATGGAGTGCTTGTAAACCTGGCAATCGGGTCGGGTTGGGTAATTTCGGGTTGGGGAATTTGGTTACGGGTCGGGTCATGTTTGCTTGGATGATTTCGGGTCAAATATTGACCCAACCCATTCGGTTTCGGGTCGGTTACAGTTCATTTTGGGTTATGAGCGTTCTCAGTAACAATATCAAACATGCTTCATATTTTGTTAAAGAACACAAATTTTCACATATGCATGACAATAGTTTACCTAACACATGTCAATTAACATATTCTCAAATCCTCCCACGCTAATGAAATGAAATACAAATTGCACACGTCGTCAATAAACAATCACAAAAGTCATACTACTACAAGAAACACATGATATTTGATTATCCTTAAACTCCAAACATGTCATTCAAATTCTTGCGATTTTTTTTAAACATTTCACCAATTTATGAGTGATTTTATCATTTTGGGAGTGATATATAAAATGGAACGGGTCTAACGGGTTGACCCGCTAACCCACCCGACCCGACCCAAAAAATCACGGATTATCGGGTTCGGGTCATTCAGATTTCGGATTACAAAAATTTCTAGTTTTCGGGCGGTTTCGGGTCGGGTTATACTTTGCTAGGTATAAGTGCTTGGAAGTTCTAGGCAAAGCTCAGAAGTTCACTTTTCAAGCTTCTCAAAGTGTTAGCTCAAAACCGAAAAACTGTCCAAAATTGTTTTAAGTGTGGATGCGAGTTCAAGATGATGACTTTAAACTTCAATTCGACGAGCTTGGGGAAGAATCGAGTTTCCAAATTCACTCCACATGAAAGCAGGTTTCTTCTAGTTCATCGACAAGGCATTGGTTGGTCAAGGTGATAGATGGAAGGGCTCGAACGAGGAGGCTAAAGTTTGCTTAGAGACTGGAATTTCTGCCTTGAAGACTAAGTAATCCGAATCCTAGTCGGATTAGGATTAGTAGATAGTTTAAGTTCAATTCGTTTTTGTGTCTATTTTGGATTTATTTTTCATGTTAGATTGTATTGGGACTTCTTCACGAGTTCTTAGGATTCATTAGGTCTATTTAAGTCATTTTAATTCGTTATAATTATCAGATTCTATTCGATTGAATATAAACTAGAATTTGATTCACAAGCTTGTTGCTTCGTGAGTTTGAGAGTGGTTTAGGGCGAGACTTAGGCTACTTGAGTGCTTGTATCGTTCACCTAACCCAGCTGATTGTGGGAAAAAATCCCAAAGTACACTAGTTCTTAAAAAAAATTCCCAAAATACATAAGTTATAAAAAAATTTCCAAAAGTACACATGTTTGAGCATCACCGTTTTAGACAAAAGCGGTGAAGGTCATCACCGCTTTTGACCAAAACGGTGAATACTTCACCGTTTTAAACTAAAACGGTGATGTATTCACCGTTTCATACTAAAACGGTGAAGGGTTCACCGCGTTTGTTAAGAACGGTGAATACCTCACCGTTTTAAACAAAAACGGTGAAGCCTTCACCGTTTTAGACTTCCACGGTGAAGGCGCTGATGTGGACTAACGCGGGGTATTCACCGCGTTAGACAAACACGGTGAATACCCGTGTTTGTTTGCGTCAGCGATCCGCGTCGCTGGCGCGTTCACCGTGTCCGTAGGATGCGGTGAGGCGCGGATCGTGGTTTGCTTTCCAGATCCGACGCCTCACGCTGAGCCACGTCGCTCGATCCGCGCCTCATCACCGTGTTCGAGAAACACGGTGCCTTCACCGTTTCTGACGGACGCGGTGAAGGCTGGGAGAATTCAATTCTCGGCAGATCCCTTCCCCCCTTCCCCCAACTATAAATAACCCTTCCCCTTTCACTTTCAACTCACACCACAAACATTTCACTTCTTTCTCCCTCAATTTATCCGCTCTAGTCTCGTTCTAAGTATGCTCTGTGGTTGCGGCTAAGTCCGATCTTCCACATCAGAAAGAATTACTAGAGTTTGACCCTAAAGCCCCCGTCCCGCTAAGTTCCCGTCCCTTACAAACCTAAACCCGTCGAACCTCTGTCCGGCTTCCGCCAATAATGGACGAAGAGGCTCTTCGTGTAGGTTTTTGGTTTATGATTTTTTTTAATCGAAACAATTTGATTTTTTTTATCAAAACAATCTCTGATTTCATTACTTTTTTATAGATGGGTGCCGAGATATACGATCCTCGATTGTATATCCATTATGGCCCAAGGGATGCGAGTCTCTTAACCGATCAAGAAGCTCATCGCTCCCGTGCCATTTGGGATAACAATCCGGTAATTTGATGAACTGACTTGCTTTATTTTATTATTTTCTAATGTTTTATTTTGCTTTATTTAATCTAATAAATTGATGTTTTTCCTATTTTTTTAGGAATCTCTTGTTCCCGTGGTTCATAAAGGGACCAATAACTTGCCCGCTTGGCATCGAAGGTTGGAGCCCTATATAGCGAGGACCGGTTTGGGAATGTTGCGCCATTTCTTGCGGATCGAGATCGACAACGATCTGCTTACGGCAATGGCGGAACGATGGCGTCCCGAAACCCATACATTCCACCTTCCGGAGGGGGAAATGACGATCACCCTCAAAGACGTGGCGATCCTCACCGGGCTTCCTATATCTGGAGATGCCATCATTGGTTCCACGACCAAACCCGGAGGAGGTTGGGGGCCGCTCATCCGTGATCGTTTGGGCTTCGACATGCCGACCACCACACCAAATCAAGGACGGGGGCATCCACCGTTGAATGCGGGGCAAGTGTCGGTGCCGTGGCTGGTATCTCACATCCAGCAAGAGGTGGAAATCAATGACGAGACACCGGAAGAACAAGTCGAGCGCTACGCCCGCATCTACCTCATCGGTTATGTTTTTACAACTGCTGGTGGTGTGCAATTTATAGGAAAATCTGCCTACTATTCACCGTTTTTGTCGAAAACGGTGAACACCATCACCGCGTTTGTCTCAAACGGTGAATAGGTGGTAGCTGCGACCTAATTTTGACCTACCAGGGGTGGGAAACGTGGGAAATGATCACCGCGTTACTTAACAACGATGAATGGGTTCACTATTTTTGACCAAAACGGTGATGTGTTCACCATTGTTAATTAACGCGATGAAAACTTAACCGTTTTAGTTTGAAACGGTGAATACTTCACCGTTTTTGTTTAAGACGATGAAGTATTCACCGTTTTGGTCAAAAGCGGTGATGACCTTCACCGCTTTTGTCTAAAACGGTGATGCTCAAACATGTGTACTTTGGGAAATTTTTTTATAACTCATGTATTTTGGGAATTTTTTTTAAGAACGTGTGTACAGTGGGATTTTTTCCGCTGATTGTGGCCAGGTTTCTACATGTAGTTTCGAGCCTTTCTCCCCTTGTGAGGATTGCACAAAACTTCCATCCCACACAATAAAACCAAGCCCTATTTTTGTGTTCTCCATTAGCCGAGATCAATCTCTCTTGTGATTGGATCCATCCAACTCATTATGGGCTTATCATTACCTCTAAATACTTGAAGCAAATGAGGTTCATACAACTAATCCTAACATACAAAACTAGGGTTCTTAATACCCAGATGAAAGGGGAGTTTACTCCATGGAGAGAAGGGAAAACACCAACCTTGGAAGAGAATTCATCATGTGAGGAATTAAAATATTCTCCAAGCTAGAAATCGGCACTTAGAGGGCGAGAGATTGAGCTCCAATGTCTTTAGATCGCTCCAATCCGCTCCCAATGTTGTTCTTCATCACTTTCTCTCTCTAGGATTCTCTTTCTACTCTTTAGAACTCAAAATCCGAATCATTTTCAATTTTGCCCGAGCTCCCCTTTTATATGTTAGAGTTTCGCGAGTTATGACCAGAGTTACAGTCGTAACTCCCTCTGCCAGCCCATAACTTCTACACAAAATGTCGACGTCTTTGCAACCTGTAAACCAAGAGTGACGGCTACTATAGAGAAGTTACGGTTAAGGCCGTACTTTGAGTAGGGAGCTGTAACTTCAAAACTGCTCTTGAAACCTCAACCCCGCTTCTTTAGAGTTACGGGCCTGGAGGGTAAGTTACGGTTCTGACCGTAACTTCAAGGATCCTACCATAACTTAGAAAGTTCTCCCGGATCCCTGGCTATCATTCATCCAAAGTTACGAGCTTCATGGGGAAGTTACGGTCCATACCGTAACTTTCAAGGTCTGGCCATAACTTTTACCTTCTCTCTACCTATTTGTTCCAAAACTCGCTCATCGCACCCATTCACGTATTAGGATCTGAAACATCATAAACCAACACAACCTAGCATAAATTAGGTAACGAGAGGGAGAAGGCAAGCTTAAACGATCAAGAAATGTTGGGGAAAACATGTTCAAATACAGTGTTATCAAATTCCCCCACTCTTAATTGTTTGCTTGTCCCCAAGCAAACTAAGTCAGATATAAGGCAGCTTATCATATTTTCCATTCAAAACACTTTTGGGGACATGACATATGCCACAAAACACATCGATCTCAACAGACAGCTAGTACCAACACATGAACAACATCAACAACAACCTCAATGACCATGCAGATAACAACCACCAACAAGATTATGCACAGGAGGAGTCCATCTAATGTTCACAAACCAAAGCATGACACAACTCATCTACTCACACACCACAGTCAACAATGCATAGAGTTCAAGCCACCAGAATTAAAGACTGAGCAAGCAATGTCCTCACCGGGATATAGAATGCAAGGAAATGAATAGCTCACTCTCGACCAGTGGGGTCAGGGCAATGTGATGCAAAAAATGCGCATTCTCATTCTCTCAATCCTAACGTCTCTTCACCATGATGTCAGCCTCTAAATACTAAAGTTCACATATCGGGTGTCACCACTAACTAATCAGGAGGTCTTAGACACGGGTTCAAATGACTGGCTAGAGTCTTGGACATGGGGAAAAAGCCTTTTAGGTTGTGGAAGAATTCATAACAAAAGGTTCCACAGTTCCAAAGCCAAACAAAAACAACATCTATTCGACCCAATTACTTTCTTTCTACTATTGTGCATTAGTCAAGTTCTTTAGAACACAAGAGTGAAAGAGCCAACACATGTAAGTATTTCCAAACCAGTCTGCCAAGAAACGCTATTTTATGAGCATGATTAAGATTTTTGTGGTGGCTCTCGTTTGCTTTCATTTGTTTCTTTTTTTAGAGAACCACCACTTCTACATATTCTTTTATTCTTGCAAACACACACCCAATTTTTAAGAACTACTTCAAACCCTCATCTAATTTCCAGCAGAAAACAACAGACCACATGCAAAAACCACTCAGTGGAACCTCAAAGAGATGCAAAATGGTGACTTTTTATTATAGACACAAAGAAAGAAAGTTACAAGGCTCAAAAGGGGTGACTAGGGGATATGACACACCCGAACAATCAATTTGGTCATGGGTTAAACCTATGCCTCCACCATTCTAATTAGTGGCAACGTGAATGCTACACATCATGAAAGAGGGATCTATTGCACAAGAAAAAAACGAGCAGGCTCAAATCTCACATGGCTACCTATATGCTCTATCTCTCATTTTGATTTCCTGAACTAAATGCATAGAAAACTGTAGACTGTGAGTAAACAATCCATGTCAAAAGTTGGTTCAAAACAGAAGCAAGATTGAACCTCTACACAATCCTACTGAGAATCTTAGTCATCATTACAATCATTTTAGTCCCCAACAAGTCATTCATGCATCTAATACCACTGTCATCAGAGATCACCAAAAACACACCAGTGCCAATATGTTCATGCAAATGGAGAAAACCTTCTTGGAGCCCTCAAATTTTTAATTTGGACAGTGGACTAGGCTCCAAGCACACACATCGAAGCATTCAAAGATAAACACCTCCCCCCCCCCCCCCCACACACACACACTTAAGATCGACATTGCTCTCAATGGAGAAGAGGGAAAGATAGGAGAACGATATTATTAGGAAGAACGGACTGCAGTGGGACTAGAGATTGGACCAGTCATCATGAGCGGACTAGAGAAGGACCAGTTTCTGAGAATGAAGCCAAGAAAAAATACAACCACTCACACTCTCTAAGAGTTGGGATAATAGTGGTCAATCCCATGGCTTCAAACAAAAGAAAAAAAACAAAACACAAAAATATCCAGCTCGACACACAAAAATGAAAACACAAAACAGAACACATGGATCTTGTGGTCAAAATGGCGGTCTTAATCCTCCTAGTCATCATCCCAAGTAGGCGAATGATGCCAGACGGTCTGGATGGTGTTAACATCGATCGTCGAGCATAGGCGCTCCAGCAGGAAATGAGAGTAACGGTGGGAGTCACGCTCATGGTCCATGCGCACCTCGACCCGATCGAAGCGAGCCTCCATGCCCGTCCAATGGTCGTCGGACAGCGCAGCTGATGAAGAACCGGCATCGGAGGGACCGATAAAAAATTGTAGCGGTTCGACATCAAGATGGAACGGTGGAACTCCACCGGCAATAGGAGCCTCGGCCTCGGCTGCATAGGCAAACTTCGTAAGTCGCAGACCCTTGAGCCAACGGATCCGCGGGTCCGTCCTCGCGAGCCGAATCAGCCCCATGGAGTACAGGGTCTTGTCAAGGAAGTCTCTAGTTTGCCTTACCCAGGTACACCCATTGAGAGGGACCCTGAAGTATCAGGCTAAGTGGGTGATGTAAGTCCCTCCATGCAGCATGAGAACCTTCGAATGATCCATCACCCGAGAGAAGGAGATCACCAAGACCGAGCCGAGGTGGATGTAGTCGAGCGCGTCGGACATAGTGTGCAGAGCGAACATGTGCCTCTTAGTCACCTGGCTGGAGGCATCCTGACTGGGGATGGTGGAGTGAGAAAGCAACGCTTGTAGGAACCTCCATGGGGTTTGAAAGTGACTGGCCCGGGTCCGACTATGTGCATAGGGAATTGCGGCGTGCTGCTGCAGGTAGATCGCTGGTAAAGGGCTTGGAAATCCACCTGCAGAATGGTGGGCTCCACCCTGAACTGGTCGTTGGGGTCAAGGCCTAGGGCGGTGGGGATATCATCATAGGTCAGACTGTGGTACTGACCTCCAAGCCGGAAGGTAACTGCGCCAGCATCATAAGCCCGCCGTTTCCTGACGTGGCAGAAGGTTTTATAGAACTCCATCGTGGGCTCCTCGAAGATGTTGTCCTGGAGCTCTAACAAGCGTCGCCACTGCGGGTGGGGGACTGCCGCTTCAAAGGCATCACGGTAGAGGAACTACTCGAAGTAGGCCAGATTGCGGTAGTAGTTGGCCCCAATCTGCCCATCCAGCATCCTAGTGAAAAGCTCGTCTTAAGCCTCGGTGTGGAGGCCTAGCAGGAAGGGGTGGTCCAGGTTGACCATTGTCCTGCAAAAACAAAAAAAAACCACACACTTTGAAATCCGTCAGTACAAAAATAATTAGGGGAAAGAAAGCCAGCAGAGCCAGCATTCCCCCACACTTAAGCGCAATCCAGACTATACTATAGAACGAAACTTTGAAGCAACAAGACTCTATACCAATAACTAACAGATTCACTAAAGGTAGTGCAAACTAGATAATCACAAGCAAAAATATTCTCCCGCCTAAAACATCAAATTATGCAAAATCGGTGCAATTCTCCCTACACTCTACAATCCGATTCTCCACAAACACAAAATCAGGGAAGAAAACCCAACCTGGAGACACAAGGAAGAGAGTAGAGCGAGGGAGAGGGCGGGAGAATGCCGACCAAAGGCTGGACCATGAAGGCGTTACTGGAGGAAATTTTCGACGAGGCAAAAACGAGGCTAAGGGGAATCAGAGGGCGACGGGCAGTGCTCCTCGTCGAGACAAGACCAGGGCCGCAAACAGTGCCTCTATCGGAGGTGGGAAACGGTTGGAAAATGTCGGCGAAGCAATGGGGTGTCGGCGGCGGCGAGTGATAACGATGTATTTGCACATGTTTATACCCTCATTTATTATCTGTTTATGACTCCTAGTCGTGTATCTTTGGCCTATTTTACGCTGGGTTATGCTATTTTGTCACATTTCAGGTCCCAAACGTCGAAGGAAGGGCTAGGCATGAGTTTGCGGGCATTTGGTGGTCGTCCGGTGAAGCTGGGGCAAAAACACGGGCAACCCACTCCGGAACACGGTCGTGATCCCCAGACCGTGTTTTTAATGCCGAGAGCATGTTTGTGGTGGCTGCTGAGGAATCCAAAACACAGGCACCCTTGGGGAGAAAAACACGGTCGTGTCACTCCTTGGGCACGACCGTGTTTTGATCGGCGCAGGCGTGTTTTCAACACACGAGGCAAAACACGACCGTATACTCGGCCGTGTTTTGCCAGTCTCTGGTTAAAAGGAGATTTCAAGCCAAAGAGAAGGGGAATCCAATTTTTAGAGATAGAAAGCAGAAAACCTAGAGAGAGTGTGACGAATAGAACTTCCAAGTGCCCTAAATCGATCTTCAACACCATTGGAGCTCGGTGGAAGCTTGGAGAAGTGCCGATTGATTACTTGAAGCAGATTGTCATCCTTCACAGAATGATTTCCGCATCTGAAGCATGATTTTCTCTCAATGGAGTAAACTCTCTCACTCACTTGGGTATGAAGAACCCTAGATTTGTATGTTAGGTCTGGTTGTATGAACCTAAGTACAAGTTCTTTGATACTGATTATATTCAATTGAGGCATGATTTTCTGAATTGCATGAATCCTGATAAAAATTCCTGTAGTTTCTGCTTTGACCTAGAAAGAGAATATCCACGTAGGTTGGTAGAGCAACCTTAATTGAAGGTAGTGAATTGACGACTTTAGTCGAGGAGTCGGTTCACTATTTTGTACTGGATTTACTCCAGTAGCGGAGGTTTAGCACGTTAGGGCCTCAGTCTGTTTACTCCGGTGGAGGTTAGTCTCCTGCTGAGGATTCTGATTGAGAGGGTCAGGAGAGCTTTAGTCGAGACTTCAGACTGTCTAAGAACCTTCCACAGTATAATTATCATTGAAACTGGACTAGGTGAATTACAACTGCAGTCTAGGGGGAACCATATCTAGGTGACCTGTCTCAAAGTTGGAACACAACATTTACTGCTTTTATCTATTAGTTTGATTGGAACTTCACTACGTTTGAACCGCTAAATAATAAGAATCTCACGGAGTAGTCATCACACCTAGGACCCGGGTTGGCATTTAAATCTAAACCCACTATACTACGCATTAGTAGGTGGTTACACTTGGCCATTTTCTAGTGTGACAGTATAAGATGTCAGCGAGTGTTTCCAGTGAGGAGGTGTGTTTTCTGGCGACGAGAGTACGAGGTGTAACTCTCCTTTTATAAACGAAGCCGAAGTTACGGCTTCATCGGGAGACTTACAGTCGTAACTCGTCTGACTCGGGCGTGTCAGACGTTACCGGATCATCGATTGAGTTACGGGCCGTAACGCATCTCTGACCCGGGAAGGGAGAAGTTACGGGCCAGTCTTAAAGTTACGGTCACAACCGTAACATCGAGACTAGGCACGTAACTTTGGGAAGATTTCCCAAACTTTCCATGCTACGATTTAAAGTTACGGGCAATGGAGGACAGTTACGGTCACGACCGTAACTTTTCACACCATGTCGTAACTCCTAGAATGATCTGCCGATTTCTGGCAAACATGCCAGAAATCACACCAAACGTCCAGAAATACCACTTAGTCCCCCGAAAACAAAAATTCACAAAAAATGACCCCCCAAGGCACAACAATTGACCACAAAAATCCATGTTCAACACATGACACACACAAAAACACAAACTCAAAAAGAAAAAGGAGAAGAAAATGCAAACCGAGGTGGGATTGCCTCTCGGCAAGCGCTTCTTTACCATCGTTTAGTTGGACGTAGATGGCGTAAGTAAGGGTCCGCAAGATCAAGCTCCAACTCCGCTCGTTCGACATAACCTCTCAAGTACAACTTGAGGTGATGCCTGTTCACCTTGAAGGGCTCGGTCTGCGGATTGATGATCTCAATGGTGCCATAGGGAAACGCGTAAGTGACCGTGAATGTTCCATACCATCGAGAGTGCAGCTTTCTCGAAAAGAGTTGCATGCGAGAGTTGTATAGAAGAATGTGATTGCCCACCTGAAACTCTTTCGGGCCTTCAAGAAAAGCGTCGTGGAGACGCTTGGTTTGCTCCTTATACAGTCTGGTGTTATCATAGGCGTGATAACGCCACTCTTCTAGCTCCACCAGCTGCATTTTCATCACGGTACCTACAAGACTTAGATCAAGGTTTAGGAGCTTAAGGGCCCAGAAAGCCTTGTGCTCTACCTCGACGGGCAGGTGAGAGGCCTTTCCATAGACGAGCTTATATGGAGAAGTACCAATCGAAATTTTGTAGGTTGTTCTATACGCCCATAGAGAATCATCGAGCTTGGTGGACCAATCCTTGCGGGACTGATCCATCGTATTTTCCATGATCCATTTCAGTTCCCGGTTTGTCAGCTCAGCTTGACCATTTGGTTGGGGATGGTAAGCCACTCACACCTTGTGCTTCCATCATAGCGAGATAGGATCTTAGTGAATTGCCCTTGAAAATGGGTTCCTCTATCGCCAATGATGGTTCGAGGTGTCGCAAACCGGGAAAATAGCTGCTTAAGAAATGAGCAGACACGTCGGGCATCATTGGTGGCCATGGCTTAAGCTTTCGTCCACCTCAAGACGTAGTCCACAACAACCAAGATATAGAGATTACCGAATGAAGGAGGAAAGGGACCCATGAAGTCGATTCCCCAGACATAAAAAATCTCACAAGTCACAATTGACTTCTAAGGCATCTCATCACGGGCAGAGATGTTGCATGACCGCTGACAGCGATCGCACTGGTGTGCAAATAGATCAGCATCCTTGAAGAGCATGGGCTAGTAGAAACCCGACTGCAGCACCTTCCGTGCGGTGCGGTTTCCTCTATGATGACGGCCAGTTGATCCCTCGTGACAGTGAGACAGGATGTCTCCCATCGCATGCTACATCATGCATCGTCGTATGACGCCATCAACTTTGATCCTGAAAAGGTATGGGTCCTCCCAGAAATAGTACTTCAAGGTTGGAGAAGAATTTGTGCTTAGCATGAGTGGTCATCCCCTTAAGTAACTGCTTGCCCACCAGATAATTAGCAAGATCAGAGTACCAAGGGGTGCCACTCTCCACCAAGCACAGTGCCAGTAATCGCTCGTCAGCGAAGGAGTCGTGAATCTCTTCCAAAAATATTTATACAAGAGAGGCTTCCAACCGTGAAAGATGATATGCATCAACGTTCTTTGTTCCTTTCTTGTCTCAAATTTTGATGTCAAACTCCTGCAGTAGTAGGATCCAGCGGATGAGCCAAGGTTTGGTGTCAGCCTTGGTCATCAAGTAGATAGTTATCCTAGGCATCTTTCAAAGTCTTCGACACGTAGTAGATAGGCTAGAAATGCTTATCGCGTCTTTGACCAAGAACATCAATGGCCGCATAATCACTCGCATTGCACATCACCTCAAATGGAAGAGACCAATCCGGAGTCACCATGATGGGTGCATGGGTAAGCTTCTCCTTCAATGTCTTGAACGCATCTGTGCACTCTCCCAACTAAGTGCCAAGTACGTTTCCTCGCACCTCTTGAGGACAAGTTCTAGGTTATGGACACAATGTGAGAACTGAGAAGGAGTCTCCATAAACCGAGAAGTCATCCATGAAAACTTCCATAATATCTCCAACTATTCGGTCGAAGATAGCCAACATGCACAACTGGAAGGTCGATGGTGCGTTGCAGAGACCGAATGGAATCCGTCGGTAAGGGAACATGCCGAAAGGGCAGGTGAAGTGGTCTCTGCCTGATCCTCCGATGCGATCAGGATCTGGAAATACCCAAACATTCACTCCAGGAAGAATTAGAACTCATGTCTCGCCAATCTCTATAGCATCTGGTCAATGAAAGGGAGCGGGTACGGAGGAGAATAAAAAGCTTCGGATAACCGTCGGTTACCGAAAACCGAGACTAAAATTACTTCGGTCGGTGCACGGAGGATAATAAAAAGCTTCGGATAACCGAGTAACCGATGATTATTAACCGCGGTTATCTGAAAAAACCGACCCAAACCGACCAACCCTCATATATTGCCCTCCCTGCAAAAAAAAACAACATATAAAACCCTTAACCCCACTCTGAAACCCTATAACCCCCTCATCAGACCCTCACCCTCACGAGTCACGGCTGCCGCCCTGCTCCCTTCCTCGTCGCCTAACGGTCGCCGCCTTGCTCCCTTCCACGCCGCCATGCAGATCCTTTCTCGTCGCACCCGTCCAGATCCCTTCCTCGCCGCTGCCCAGATCCCGTCCTCATAGCGTCGCCTCGCGCCGCCGCCTCCATCCTTCCTCTTCCCCGTACATCCGTCGTCGCCGTCCCCGAGCAGATGAACCGCCGCCGCGAAAGTGAGAAGGAAAAGAAAAATGGTCATTGTCCATGAGTTCAGAGAAGAAGAGAATGGGAATTGAGTTTGGCTGAGAGAGAGAGAAAAAAAAATTGGTTTTGGCTGGGAGAGAGAGGAGAGAAGAAGAGGCTTGGAGTCTAGAAGGTTAGTAGAGGCAAGGCAGAGAGAGGGGATAAGAAAAGACGTGGGCTTTTTTTGGGTGAGGAGAGAAGAAGAAGAAGAAGAAGAAGAAGAAGAAGAAGAAGATAAGGACGAAAATGTGTGGTGGTTACTTTTCTTCTTTTTTTATTTAATTTTTTGTATTTAATTCGGCTAACCGCGGTTATAACCGATAACCGACCGGTCGGTTAGGCGGTGACCATGTGAAACGCGCCGGTCGGTGTTCGGTAGTCCTGGTGGCATTGTTTCGACGCCAGTACTCGATGCATACACGCCACCCAGTCACCGTCTGCATCGCGATCAGATCGTTCTTCTCGTTTGAGACCACAACCATCTCGCCTTTCTTCGGAACCACGTGAGTGGGACTGACCCACTTGCTATCAGATATAGCAAAGATGATCCTGACATCCATCAACTTCACAATCTCTGCCCGGACCACTACCTCCAAGTTATGAGTCAACCTCCATTGCAGCTACCAGACTGGCTTAACCTCATCCTCCATCAGGATTCTGTGAGAACAGAAGGATGGTTAATGCCTCTGATATCTGTGATCTTCCACCACATGGCTCGGGCGTACTTCTTCAACAGAGCGACTAGAGTGTTATTTTGCTTGGGGGCAGTTCCAAGTTAATGATGATTGGGAGCTTATTCCCCTCCAAGAGAAATGCATACTCCATATGAGAGAGGAGGGGCTTAAACTCAAGCTCTGTTAGCTCCTCCAATGATGTAGCGATCCAGGGCGAGACGTGGATCGGCTTGAATGGCTTCTCTCGTCCCTCGATCATTGTTCCTTCCTACTCCGCGAGCTGCTCCTCCAACTGCAACTCTTAAGATGCCCGATCCCCTAGCAAAAGACAACGCTCGATAAAATTATTAGTACCTGCACTCGTGATAGCGAGTGCGGTCTCATAATCAACAACCACATTACAATTGTCCAAATCATCGTGGAGCTGGGGATGTTTAATATTATCATAAACAGAAAAGGTGATTTGTTCACCCCCCAGCCTGCAAAATCAACTTGCCGTCATTCATATCAATGAGTGTCTTGGCGGTGGCAAGAAAAGGTCGACCTAGAATCAAAGGCACCTCCACATCCTCATTTATATCAAGAATCACAAAATCAGCAGGATATGCAAATGGCCCTAAAGTAACTATAAGATCCTCTGCAATGCCCCAAGGATACACAATAGATCGATCGGCTAACTGAATGCTCATCCTAGTATTTCTGGGTTTACCTAGGCCTAGCTTCTGAAACCATTTATATGGCATGACGTTTATGCTAGCCCCTAAATCCTCCAAGGACTTTCCTACATGAAAGCTACCTATTATGCAAGGGATAGTAAAATTCTATGGGTCTTTGCGCTTTTCTGGTAGCTTGTTCTGCAGGATGGAAGAACACTCCTCGTTGAGCATCACTGTCGACAGCTCCCCAAGATTCCTCTTGTTGGTGAGGAGATCCTTATTGATGTTCACCTGCTTCAGCATTGCCATGAACTTGGCAAACATAATCTCCAGACGGTCTTTGTGCAATCGAGTTGAAAAGGGAAGCTGAGGAACATACTCCTTCACTACTGGTTGTGGCGTAGGAGCATACACATCAACCTCCTTATTCATTTCTTCCTCATTGGCTGGAAGTGCTGAAGCAGGTGGTTCTTTCCCCTGTTTGGCTTGGACGGGGATCTATGCCATTACCTTGCCGCTCCTGGTGGTAATGGCGCTCAGATGGGCATCCGGGTCATTGGGATTAGGGATGGTATGACCCGGTAAGGTACCCGGAGCCCGCTGTGCACAGCTTTGTGAAGACTTCCAAGTTGGAGGTAGATATCTTGCAAAACAGCCTATGTATTCCTCTAACCAGTTTCTAGGTGCAGGAACTACTGGCCAGAGGCTTTCTCCATGAACCGGTCCATGTTGCCAAATTTGTGAGCGTTGTTGTTGGCAAGGCCCGCCACAATGTCGTGCGGCTCGGCCATTGGATCACTTTGTATTGGGGCTGCGCCCGGCTGCTGCAACGGCCTCGGCTGCTGTTGTGAAATAGCTTTCCCCTGGTTAGGAGGATAGAGAGATTGTTGTTGCTGCTAGAATTTCCCCTGTATGGGATGGTACGGCGGTCTCTGGAAGCCGGGTGGTCCCTTAGAGACTGGTGGCTTAGGATTACTGCCACTCCAAGAGAAGTTGGGATGCTGACGCCACCGCTCATTATAGGTGTTGCTATAAGAGTCGAATCGCCTAGCATTGCCGATGAAGTCCAGCTGCTCTTGGGGTGTAGTAGATTCCTTCATTGCTGACAGTCTTCTATAGTGTGATGGGAGCTCTCACACCATTGGCAAAGCATTGTCTGCTGCTGTCTTGTCCATGGAATCATCCCATTACGATCAATACTTGAAACTAGCTTAGTGATGAGGTTATCAAGACCAAGCATGCTCAAGATGAAAGACCAATGACTCGTTTTAGAGCTAAAACATTTTGAAATCAAATTACGAGTTATCTGGCTAAAGAGTTGGAAGGCATGAGCTTGGATTTGCTAAAAGGAAAGTCCATTACACTATTGAGCTATGTGGATCATGAAATTGGGCTCAAAGGGAGAGAAGAAGGGTCGGCCATGGAGAAGGAGTCTCAAGGTGTGAATAGAATCATCAATGGATAAGGATCAAGGTGTGAACACAAGGAGGAAGACACCATTCAAGTCTAGATAATAGGAGGATGTTTGACCAAGTTTTTTCCTTGTTTGTTAAGGTTTTTGTTTTCCTTTTTCAAGTAGGATTTTGTTATCCTTAGTTATTTTGTGTTTAGATTATTGGGTCTATAAATAGGAGTCAAATCAATGTAGTTTTCATTCAAGTTTCAGCAATCAAATACAAGTGTTTTCAAGTTCTTCAAGAACGTGTTTTGCTTAAATTCTCCTTCGAGGATTCGAGATGTTTGAGTGTCTCTTATCAACTAGAAGATCACATCTAGTTGTGGCGAGCTTCGACGATTTCGGTTGGCCTCTTGCACGAGTTTGAGATTGTTTGGAAGGTTTCATATACCTTCCGGCTCTTCTCACGAGTTCGGATTTGTTTGATCGATTCCGCAAGTATCTTTATTTTTCGTGTTATCAAGAAAGGAGAAAACCATAAAAGAGTTCGACATTGTGCGATTCTGATTCTTGGTCCAAATTCGAGGTTCTCTTTTTAAATTAGGGCCATATCAAATGGTATCAAGAGCCCGGTTCAAACGCAGCGGAGAAGATAAAATTTCTTGGAGTTCTTCGAGGTTCGTGAAGCATTCTTGGGAATCTTGAACGTCAAGAAATCAAAACTTGGACGTTCTTGGAGATTTTCATGTGCGGCAAGGAGTATCTTGAAGAAAATCAATTGTGGGGTTCTTCTTTAGCAAGAAACCATGGCGAAACAAGCACAAGATGTGGCGGCACAAGTTCAACAACTTGCTGCCTAACTAGCTATGGTACTTCAAGAGCAAAGGGATACTAAGGCACAACTTGAGGCATTGCAACGACGTGATCAAGTGCAACCTCAACCAAGAAATCAGGAGCCACCCCAAGGCGAGTTTGAAAACCCTAACCCTAGGGAACGACAAGAGAAAAGAAGAGTTGTTCGAGCTGTTCAACGTCCAATGTATGAGCATGTTCGTCGCATAGGCCATTGGGAGGGCATCGCGGTGCAAGGAGAGACTTTCCCTTCTATGACGAGGAAGGTTATGAAGAATACGAGATGATGATGATGATGATGGTCTACGAGGATTGAAGATAACTGTAACATCGTTTAAAGGGACAATTGATCCGCAAGCTTATCTCGATTGGGAACGCAAGATGGAGCTGATTTTTTATAATCAAAACTATTCGAAGAAGAGAAAGGTGGCGATGGCTACCATTGAGTTTACGGATTATGCCCTAGCATGGTGGGATCAATTGAGCACGAAGAGGAGAAGAGATAGGCGCAGGCCTATTGAAACATGGGATGAGTTGAAGGCAATCATGAGAGATCAATTTGTTCTAGTCTATCATCAACGGAAGATGCACCAAGCATTACAACTTCTTCGACAAGCCAACAAGAGTGTCGAGGATTACTATCGAGAGATGGAGCTATTAATGATTCAAGTTGATGTCCGTGAATATAGGGAAGCTACCATAGCTCAATTTATACATGGTCTTAACCGAGAGATTCGTAATGTCGTGGAAATTCAACAAATTGGGAAGGTAGAAGACTTGGTGGCTATATGCAGCAAGGTGGAGAGGAAACAGAAGAATAGGAGGTTTATGCCTACTACGAGTACTACAGACCTACTCCAGCACCTTCAACAAACCTTAGGCCGAGTGTTCCTACCAAAGAAACACCAAAAATCGGGCAAAAGGTAGAGGCACCAAACCCTAGCAACAAACATGGTTCATCTTTTGGAGGGATTCAATGTTTTAAGTGCCATGGACGAGGGCATATGGAAAACCAATGCCCAAACAAGAGAACGTTGATTATACTATATAATGGCAAGTATGTGTCTGATTCTGAAGAGGAAGCAATAGAGGAGAAGAACTCATCTGATTTTGAAGTCGATGAGGCTATCGAGATGGAGATACTGCCGGGAAAGTTATGTGTAGCTCGAAGGGTTCTGAATATTCAACCAAAAGAGCAACGTGAGAATCTCTTCCATACGAGGTGCATGGTGAATGGAAAGTTCTTGTCGGTTGTAATTGATGGAGGAAGCTGCACCAATGTGGTTAGTGCAAGTTGTGTGAAGAAATTGGGTTTGAAAACAACGATTCATCCAAGACCCTACACTCTTCAATGGCTCAATGAAGATGGATCGATTAAAGTGGCGAAGCAAGCCTTGCTGAATTTCACCATCGAGAAGTACAAGGATGAAGTAACATGTGACGTGGTGCATATGCAAGCGGCATGTCTTACTTGGGAGGCCATGACAGTTTGATTGAAGTGCTCAACATGACGGCGTCAACAACAAATACACATTGAAACACCAGGGTAAGAAGAATGTATTGAAGCCCCTATCTCCTAGATAATTTTATGAAGATCAATTGCAAATGCAACAAATGCGAGAAGAGGAGAAGAAGGCTCAATCGACAAAGGGTTAGAGTATATCTGGCTTGTCCATGGAATCATCCCATTACGATCAATACTTGAAAACAGCTTAGTGATGAGGTCATCAAGACCAAGCATGCTCAAGATGAAGGACCAATGACTCGTCCTAGAGTTAAAGCATTTCGAAATCAAATTACGAGTTATCTGGCTAAGGGGTTGGAAGGCATGAACTTGGATTTGCTAGAAGGAAAGTCCATTACACTATTGAGCTATGTTGATCACGAAATTGGGCTTAAAGGGAGGGAAGGAGGATCGGCCATGGTGAAGGAGTCTCAAGGTGTGAATGGAATCATCAAAATGGATAAGGATCAAGTGTGAACACAAGGAGGAAGGCACCATTTAAGGCTACATTTTACGAGGATGTTTGATTTAGTCTTTTCCTTGTTTGTTAAGGTTTTTGTTTTCATTTTTTAAATAGGATTTTGTTTTCCTTAGTTGTTTTGTGTTTAGATTCGTGGGTCTATAAATAGGAGTCAAATCAATGTATTTTTCATTCAAGTTTTAGCAATCAAATATAAGTGTTTTCGAGTTCTTCAAGAACGTGTTTTGCTTACATTCTCCTTCAAGGATTAAGGAGGTTTAAGTTTCTCTTATCAACTAGAAGATCACATCTAGTTGTGGCGAGCTTCGAGGATATCGGTTGGCCTCTTCCATGAGTTCGAGATTGTTGGAAGGTTCATATACCTTCTGCCCCTTCTCACGAGTTCGGATTTTTTTGATCAATTCCGCAATTATCTTTATTTTTCGTGTTATCAAGAAAGGAGAAAACCATAAAAAAAGAGTTAGACATTGTGCAATTCTGATTCTTGGTCCAAATTCGAGGTTCTCTTCGAATTAGGATCATATCACAGACCGAGTCGATCAACTGCTTATCTTCGGGAAAGAGAACCCGATAGAAAGTGCATACCTTGAAGGCGTTATTGGAACCATGGTTGGGGCATCTCGAGAAAAGACCGGAGTATCTCTACCAAGCATCCCGGATAGTCTCATCCTCCTCCTGTGCAAAGTGGGTGATTTCTTTTTGTAGATCCGCTGTTTTATAAGGAGAACTGAACCGCCTGTCTTCCTATGGAACAGAACTGAGTCGCGCATCATGGTGATAAAAGAGGTGCTCACCTCAAACTTGTTGGCAGCAACTTGAGGGTGTTGGATGTTGGACCTCATGTCTGCTGCCCTGACGGTTCAGTAGTACCCCATGGTATGCTACTCGTGGACAACCGCCTTGGAAACATTAGGGTCACCCATTTCTTCTTCACTCTCAAATCCGTCAGCGACAATGACCTTTTCCAAGTCCTCCTCCGTAGCCAGTCTTGGTTTGAGCGCTCGGAGCTGGCGACAAGTCCATTCAATTTCTGGATCTAACGGATGAAGATCTCCCGACTAACTACGGGTTATGCACTACCAGCACACAGACTGCAGTACAAGCAAACATGGGAAGGAAAACAAATATATGAAAGTAAATGCTAAAGTAGCAGACGTTCACGTTTCTACAATAACCTAGAAGTCCCTGGCAATGGCGCCAAAAACTTGACTTGCTAAAACACACACCAAACTACTACCAAGTGCAATCGTAGTCCGGAAATGCAATTTAGTGGTTCATTTTTACTTATCAACCCTGTGCCTAGATGTACTACATACGCCATGAAGGGTAAGTTACGGGCCTGGAGGGTAAGTTACGGTTCAAACCGTAACTTCAAGGATCTGATCGTAACTTTGAAAGTTCTCCTGGATTCCTGGTTATCATTCCTCTAAAGTTACGGGCTTCATGGGGAAGTTACGGTCCAGATCGTAACTTTCAAGGTAAGGCCGTAACTTTTCCCAACTCTATGCCCGTTCGCTCCAAAACTCGATCATCGCACCCATTCACGTATTAGGACCTGAAACATCATAAACCAACACAACCTAGAGTAAAATAGGCCACGAGAGCGAGAAGGCTAGCTCAAACGATCAAGAAATGATGAAAAAACATGTTCAAATACAGTGTTATCAGTACCACAAACTCACAATACCTCCACTGACTCATTGATGCACAACAAACAGAAAGTCATAAAGGCCTTGGAATAAACCAAGATAGTGAAGGGCACTGCGTGCCACCAAATGTACAGCCCTATTTGCTTCTCGCGGTGTGAACTAAAATCGAATGAAAGGCAAAGCACTAACAAGACTGTGAAATTCTTGCAGAATCGCATTGCCACGAGTTGGGGTGGCTATACGGTCCGGTCCGGTTAAATTGGCCCAAATTGATCCGGTCCAGTCCGGTCTTTTTGAAAATATAAGGACCGAAGATTGGATTGGATACAGTCTGGTCTTGATCCGGTCCGGTTTTGATCCGATCCGGTCCGGTTTTGATCCGGTCCGGTTTTGGTCCGGTCCCAATTCGGTCTTGATTTTACATTGAGATTGTGGGATTTGAGTGGCCTAAGGCCTTAAAGGGTGAGGAGTTGGTTAAGTTTTGTACTAAGTGCAAAGGTTTGTGACCGTTTATGCAAATTACCCTTAAGTTTTGGGTGTTGAGCTCTCTTATCCGGTCTTTATCCGGTTTTTTACCTCAAATCTAAGCCCAAAGATTGGATTGGATTGTTTACTATCCGGTCCCGGTCCTGTCTCGGTCCGGGTTATACGGTCCGGTTTCCGTTTTTAATCCGGTCCCGGTCAAAATAGCCACCCCTAGCCACGAGCAACAAATGTAGTAGCGCTGAGTATTTGTTGGATCACATGTTGGGCATCACTAGATATCAAGATCGACCTAGTTGTCCATCCCCCATCGAAGAAGAAGGTACAACACTTCTCAAATAGCCAATAGTTCCACCAAATACGAGTTCGCAAGTGAAGGAATTCGCGGCTGAATGCAAAGATTGGGGTTGAAGAATCAAAGGCTACAATACCAATAGCACCATGGGAAGCGGACTGTGTTGCGCCATCCACTGCAATGTGAAGTTCGTGGAAAGGTGAAGGTGAAACGTGCTATGAAACAACATGCAAAGCTGGAGGGACAGGTGGAACAGGAGGGAGGATGGTCGTTTGATGGTCAGCGCGATGGGGCAAATACTGGAGATGAAGACAAGCTAAGATGAATTCCGTGTGGGGAAGAAACACCACATTATTACGCCATTTCCATAAACGCCAACAAAGTAAGACCCTGTGTATCCCAATGTCCTCGTTTGAATGCAGCAAGAGCTTGCGCCAAAGAAAGGCAAAATGATGAGAAGAGTTATATCTATGGGGAAAATAAATATCAAGTAGATGCCTCAACCTAACAGCAACAAGACACCGAATAAACAAATGTTCGAGAGACTCTCCTTCATCTAAATCAAAAACAGGGCAAATATCATGATTTTGCAGTCCATGTCGAGTTAAATCCTCCCGGAATGGAAGAATACGCAATAAAATCCTCCAGAGGAAGAATTTCAATTTGGGAAATAAACTTAATCCCTAGATTTTCGGCCAAAGGGAAAATTCCATAGGTGAGGTGGTGGCCTCTTCACGGCGAGAGCAGGAAGGACGATGGTTCAATGCTAAACGATAAGCTGATTTGACTGTAAATTCCCCAGTGGAGTGAAAATGCCAAATTCATTGATCAAAGTCTCTAGTCCTGCCAAAGACAAACATTGGCGCTTCCAACCTTGTAATTTTTTGGCGACGGCCTCTTCCAGGTATCGGAAAGTGGCCCTCTAGGATTGTTGAATAAGGGATGGAAGTCCCAAATATTTATCCGTAGTGCTAATAGCGCCAACTAGAAGGAAATAATGAAAGGCTGCCGCCTCAGCAGTGGTAGTATTTTAAGAGAAGCTAACCGCCTATTAGGTAAGATTCACCTGTTGACCACTCATGGACTCATAGCGGTGGAGTAACTGAAGCAACGTTTGACAATCTGTCGGTGAAACCTGGAGAAAGAGGTACGCATCATCTGCGAAGAAAAGATGGGAAAGGACCGGACAGTTGTGATTAAATCGAACGCCTTTCAATTCACGGCGAGTAAGAGCCTAGGATAGGAGGGCCAAAAATCCTTTTGTGTGAATTGCAAAAAGTAATGGGGAAAGTGGGTTGCCCTGGCGTAAACCACGAGTGGGCTGGAAATATCCATAGGAAGACCCGTTCACCAAAATGAATGTCGAAGAAACACAATTGCAGAGTAATGTAATCATATGGGGATCAAAACCCAATTTTTGCATAATACCAAAAGACACGGACATTTAATTCTGTCATAAGCCTTTTCATGCCCAATTTAAGTGTCATGAACCGTCCACGGCCTCCTCTCTTGTTCTTGAGATACATCATGACTTCTTGGCTAAGGATGACATTGTCAATAATGGAGCGATCTTTGACAAACCCCATTTTGAAATGTACTAATGACCTTCGGAAGGATAACTCCTAATCGGGCTGTCAAAAAAATTTATATAATCTTATAGAATACATGACAGTGCCCACTAGGTTGTAATTGGGAACAAGATTCCACGTTGGTCAACTTAGGAATGAGTGTTAACAGGTATGATTAAAATATCACAAAATATGTCATGTACGGAAAAAGGACTTGACCGCGGAACACACATTAGAGCCCACAATGTCCTAATAAGTCTGAAAGAAAGATATCGTGAAGCCATCAAAACTAGGAGCTTTAGCCGCACCAATATTGAACAACGATTTTTTCATTTCCATCACTATAACCAGTGCTAAGAAGGAATCATTCATCGCACGAAAAAACTTAGCTCGATTGGGAGACCATCAACCCCTTGATCAACATCGAAGGCCGCAATTTGGGACGAAAATAGACTAGAGTAGTGGCGAATCGCCTCCAAACCTTTGTCCATTTCATCCTCAAGTATCCGGCCCGCCGGATCCCGCAGAGAGGAAACAAAATTTCTGAACCGCCTAGCCTGATTTACTCGGTGAAAGTACCCGGAATTACGATGTCCTACACAGAGCCACTGAACACGAGAGTGTTGCCGCCAATAAGATTCCTCTCACATGCAATAGATAGGTCTCGTTGAAGAATCCGAATAGCATCCCAGTCAGGATCCAGTTCGGCCCGGTTCCCTCGTATAGTCAAGGAAAGATCGTTAATTCGACGACGTGAATTTGAGCACCCATCCAAGGATCATTGAAATAAAGCAAATCGGGTCCTTTTTAAAATAGTAAGTATCGAGGCAGAACATTGGTGACCCTGTTACTGGGAGATTCCACAAAAACTCAACAAGAAGCCTGACCTCAGGGTTCTCGACCCAACTAGGGGTGGCTATACGGTCCGGTCCGGTTAAATTGGCCCAAATTGATCCGGTCCAGTCCGGTCTTTTTGAAAATATAAGGACCGAAGATTGGATTGGATACAGTCCGGTCTTGATCCAGTCCGGTCCCAATTCGGTCTTGATTTTACATTGAGATTGTGGGATTTGAGTGGCCTAAGGCCTTAAAGGGTGAGGAGTTGGTTAAGTTTTGTACTAAGTGCAAATGTTTGTGACCGTTTATGCAAATTACCCTTAAGTTTTGGGTGTTGAGCTCTCTTATCCGGTCTTTATCCGGTTTTTTACCTCAAATCTAAGCCCAAAGATTGGATTGGATTGTTTACTATCCGGTCCCGGTCCGGTCTCGGTCCGGGTTATACGGTCTGGTTTCCAATTTTTAATCCGGTCCCAGTCCAAATAGCCACCCCTAGACCCAACAACTATCAAACCGAAAAATTCGCTTAGACCGCGGGGACGCTTCTTGGTCATCCATAATAACATGCGGTGATCAGATCCAATGTTAGTCAAATGATGAATAATGGGGTCGGGTAAAACGTTTAGGGTCGTGCCCGAGAAAATAAATCTATCCAAACGAGATTCATTAAACCGGTCACCTTGGCCATAAATTTTTTTTTTTTTTGTAACACCTTGACCATAATTTAAAGGGTTAATATCATTATGTACCCCTCTACTATCGCAAATTAACAAATGTACCACTCTACTAAATTTTTGCACAAACATACCCTCATAACTTAATATTAACTCATATTATCAATTTTTATCAAAATTCAATTAAATATGAAAACATGCCACTCTCTGAAGATGGCGGCCTGAGCTACGCAGAAGGCGATGGAGATGCGTCCGATGAGGATGTTAACTCATAACTAATCTACCCTTCCGTCTAATTATCTGTTAAATTATCTGTTAAATGAATGTTAAACCCAAATACCCCCTAACTTAATATTAACTCATATTATCAATTTTTATCAAAATTCAATTAAATATGAAAACATGCCACTCTCTGATGATGGCGGCCTGAGCTACGCGGAAGGCGATGGGGATGCGGCCGATGAGGATGTCGTGAAAGTAGATTCTGAAGTGGCTCAATTTCCCCTTCCCGAGTTTCAGCGGGCGCAGGGTTCGGGAGAATCGGCGGCCGGCGTGAGCGAGGGAAATGGCGAGGGGGAGAGAGAGAGAGAACTCAAGATCGATCGACGTCCAACGAAAGCTGCGAGCGGTAACCTACAAAAGGCATACCTCCGAATCGAATCCAGTGGGAGAGAAGACATCCTGGTCGATCTATTGTGACTATTACTTCTGAACCCCTATTCACCATAATAGTTTTGGTTTTTAACATCTTATTAAAACATAACCCATTCGAAACTGGGGGATGGAGTTGTGTACAAAAATATGCAGAGCCCTCTACTCTAATTGAAACATGGGTTGAAGCTTTACGAAATTAGAAGAGAAGGCATACTTTTGGTGGACATGGATTCCGACTAGCGAGGGACCGGAGAAGAGATTAAGTGAAGATATTCGGATCAACAGCGAAGGCTTTCTTTATGGAGCATAAAATGGTGGTGCTATTATCATCGCCGTCTCACCCAGTGCCGCCTGCTTCCATCGTCGGGGAGGAAGTATTGAGTTCCGCCGCCGCTGATTGTGCGCCGATGGGGGTTTCGGTGGAGTTGGGTGAATGAGGTAGACGAAAGAGGGGGTCAATTAGGGTGCATTTTAATATAATATTTAATTGGCTTTTGATAAAATTAATTAATTTAGGGGGTATTTGGGTCATTTCCAGTCTATTTAACAGTAATATAACAGATAATTAGACGGAAGGGTAGATTAGTTACGTTTCAATATTATGAGAGTATATTTGTGTAAAAGTTTAGTAGATTGGTACGTTTGTTAATTTATGATAATAAATGGGTACAAAATGATATTAATCCTAATTTAAAGTAAATTGTTGTTAAAATAAAAGTTGAATAAGATAATACAGTCAATCACTATAATGATCACATTCACCAACAAATCCGCACCGATCCCCCAGCTAAGCTGGACCGGTGTTGATGGATTTAGATTTGCGTTGGGGGTTATTGGTTCGTGGGCCGAGTTTGCGCTGGTTGGGACTTTGTGGTGGAGTCGATTTGGGCCAAAGACAAGTATAATGATGTAACAAGTAGGGATGGCAATGGGTCGGGTTGGGGCGGGTTTTGTCAAACCCAAATTCATGGGTTTATCCGCAAAAAAAAAAATTTACAATAACATGTTTCTTTCAAAATAAAAGTTTAACATCAATTTTCTCATACAAATTATTCATACAAAAAACACCAATCTAGAGCATACGAGCAAACCGCAAATGATCAAATGCAAATTGTTCAAAATTAAAGATAAACATCTATAAACAATAAGATTAATTGAAAGCTTCTTCCTCGTCAACTATGTTTCTTCACTCTCTCCATTTCATAATATCAACTTCATTCTAAACAATTAGAAAGAACAAATTATACATATTTCCACAAACATAAAGAATATTAGTTGTTTAAGGAAGATATATTATTTAGAATATTAAATATACCGGGAAAGTAATTATATGAGTGTGTGCGGGTACCCATGTGGCGGGTTTACCTAAACCCAAACCCAACCCGACCCGGTGAATAGTGTAGCGAGTTTAAACCCGAACCCGGCCCAAAACCCGTCAACGTGGGTTTTACCCGGGTTGGGTCGGGTGGGTACCCGTGGGTTCGGGTTTTGTTGCCATCCCTAGTAACAAGTCTAAATATAGGCATTTTGAACTACAAATTGAATTTGTAGTATAGTTTTGCAGATACAAGTTCAATTTATGTTATAGAAAATTTTTTGTTGGAAAATGTATAAATAAAAATTGAATTTGTACTGTATTGTTAAGATATACGTTTAATTTGCACCATAAAAATTTTTCAAGGAAAATGTATATATACAAATTGTATTTACACCATAATTATATTAGAGCTACAAATTCAGTTTGTACCATAAAATATTTTTTTTTTAAACAAAAGCACCTGTGAATATGAGCATAGTTGCGTAGCTCTTGATACAGATGGAGAATATTGCTTATTAGTTTTTTTCAAGAATTGAAAAATCGTATCGGAGGTCATATACAAAATTAGTATATGATAGAGTGTTTTGTGGTACGACCGTGATTCAATGGTTAATGTGAAACATACTCTATACTTAAATGGCATGAGGAATGGGTTACCGTGACACGTTGTCACTATGACAACCTACATCTCTATCCTTCATTCGCTTCATTTTTAAACTGGGTCATGATTGTTTTGAGGTAGTTATGAAACAAAAGTAGTATTCATATATGATTACTATCCTTAAAATATGGCCACCAGACCCTAATAATCATAGTCCTCTCTGTCTCTCTTTCTCCATCTTCCTCTCTTCTCATAGGCGGAGCCAAGGGTCCTGGGATGTGTCCCATGACACATGTAATTTCTAGAATAACAAAAAAATATCTCATATATGTATAAACTAAGTATTGCATTCATGATATCTAGGTAATATAAGAGTTTTATACCACTACATTACAAGACATTTCTTGTCTAAAGGCATAGATAAATTTAATTTAACTTAGAATATGAAAATGTATTGTGGTTGTTCATGAAAATAGTGATTGTATTGATTGGTTTTTCGTTATTATATATGGATGATATATTTGGATATTATTATTTTTAATTATATTTAATATTCTTTTATATTTTAAAAAGAAGACATGGATACTTTTAAATTCTTGCTCCGCCATTGTCTCTTCCTCTTCCATGTTTCTGCCTACCACCTTCCTACGAACATACATGCCTCAACCATTCCTCTTCCTCTTTCACTGCCCCAAACCCATATTTAGTGAGTTCTCTCTCTCCCCCCGAATGAATTTGTTTTTCAAAACTCATATGAGTTTTGTATTCTTGTATTGGTTTGTGTTGAACTGGTTTTGATTCGCGTTGAATTGGTATTGGTTCGTATCAGTGTCGGATGACTCGGATCCAGAAATTCTACATAAGGTGTCCTCTTCAAAAATTAAATATTAAAATTAAATAAAATAATTATTAAATATGAAAATATCTGACTAATAAAAGTTACATTAAAAGTTCAGACATGTTTCGTAAAATAGTAAAATACATTCAGTGTCTATACTGCTCAACAATGATCTTTCGATATATCCTACTAGAAAAGGATATCCAGTAATTGGGTTTAATCGTTAGGTTTTAAAAATAATTTGGGATAAGAATAACATTTTACTATTATATTTGGATCTAGAACACAATAACAAATGAGTTGTAGTGTAATTGAAAATATGTTTACTAATAGTGGCAGTGTCTCAAGTTTAAATCACATAAACTACTAATAAAATATTATTTGTACTAATACGCAAACTACTATGGGAGGTTAGACAATCGTTTTCCCAAATTTTAAGGGTGTCCCACTACCACTTAAACATTTTTTTTCCTCATATACAAACTACTATCGGAGGTTGAATAATCGTGTTTCCAAATTTTAGGGGTGTCCTAGGACACCCCTAGACCTGCAAGTATCCGCCCCTGGTTCGTATTGAAAATGTATTGGTTTATTTGAACTAGTATTGGTTTGTGTAAAATTGGTATCAATTCACCTAGAATTGATATTCGTCCATCTGAACTGGTATTGGTTTGCATTAAACTAGTATTGGTTTGTCTATACTGGTATTGATTTGTTTTGAACTGGTATTGGTTCGTCTATACTCAGTGGCATAGCCATAAATTTCAACGAGCAGGGGCTAAAAATTTACACGCAGAGAATTCGATTTGGCAAGAGGGGGTGGAGGGGCTAACGCCTTATCGATTATTATATTTTTCCAATTTATTACAAAACTTACATGTAATTTTACATGATTTTGAGAATTGAAGTGGGACTATAGCCTCCCCTGCTAACGTAGCTCTGTCACTGTCTATACTGGTATTGACTTGTATTGGCATTTTTAAGTTATAGTCTTTTTTTTTTATGATTTGGTATTGATCTCTCATTTTTTTTCTTCCTCACGACGAAGACAAAGAAGAATTGAGAAGAATAACGTAAATAGGGGTGACAGAAACAGAAAAGTGGGGAGAGGGAGAGAGAAAATTATAATTAATATAAAATTATAATTTCAAAAAATGTAATTAATTTAATAAGGTAATTAATAAAAAAATTAGTCATGGTGAGGTAGTGACTACCATTATAAATTAGTCACCATATTCGCTCAACCCTCCTAACTCGAAACCCTACAAACTACCTTCTACAATCAACCCAAAAAAAGGTAAATTACAAGTTGGGACTATTGAACTTATTTTAGTAACTATAAATTGAATAAAATATTTTTAATGACAAAAGTGAAACATTTTAGTAAACCTATATTCCTAGTGACCAAATTTTCGACTAAAAAAATATAACAAATCACACTTTTTTGGAAGGTAGTAAAAAAGGCTATTGTTCCATATTCAGGGACTTCAAACTGAATTTTCCAAAAGATTCTCGTCTAGTCAACCATCTCTGCTGCCAACCAACATCAAGAACCACAAAATTCAGATGGGGACAGCCAGACAAATGTCCAATTGTTATTGGCCAGTCCCACCAAACAAATCTTGCTCCTGCCATGCCATAATTCCCCAGAATGTATTCCTTCCTTCCTGGCTCACTTACCTCCCTGAGATTTGGAAGAATCTTGCTGGCTGGTTGGCCCGAATTTCTTCCATTTCCCAGAAATATAATGCTCTGTCCAATTTACAAATCTTACGTTCCTCCCACCTCTTTTCAACAGTGTGTTTCTTCCAGATTCCTACTTCCATCCCAAGTAAGAGAACCCAATATAGGAAAAACAAAGTACATACAGAAGATCTGCCAAGCATCAACATCTATATAATTGGAAAGAACAAACCTTTCTGTCATTTGTTTGGGTTTATCCTCTAATAACTGTTGAGTTGGGGGCCAAAATAAAACGTACAGGCGAACAAACTCTCCTGTCTCCTCATCCATTCTCTGTTCTGTAGAACCAGAATACAATGCAAGACCCATAGCGAAAAGAGAGAAAAATGAAGTAACGCAGCCATCCTTGTTAGGGATCTACAATTATTACACACATTCTCAGTTGCCTTGCCCTCTTGAATCTGAAATAGAATGCAATCAATCACAAGCAGATATTATCGTGTCCCTCTTTCTCTATCACCAGAGATTATGATGACCCTTTGAGAAACCAAGTATGGTGCTTTCTGCTCTCTTTGCTGACTCTGATAAACCTACGGTGCTGCTGCTCATAAATGTATCCCGGTAGTATCAATCTCGAATGCTGACATTATTTACTGACTGGTAGAAGGTTGGTGGCATGTCGCCCATGGAAGGAAGCCAAGAGACCCGGGATTATGGGTAAGGAGGAATGTACAAGGGAATCCCCACGATTGATCACAAGAAAACTCAATCCCACAAGATCCAGGAGAAAAATGTCACCAACTCCCATGCTCTTTCCATTTATAGAATTTTCAGCAGGTAAAAAAGCGGCTCATTTGTAATTTTAGGTTACTGGGAGAGTTGGAAGATTACCAGCCGGGCACCTTTGCCTGCGTGGACGCCTAGTTGTCTTTCCCCAACCTCTTAGGCTCCTATCCTCCATTCCCACTTCAAAACTACTAAGTTGATTAATCAGCGGAGCACAAGGCATCAGCGAACTTACAGCCACCACCACCGGAGGAGGCGGAGGAGGAGGTGGTGGAGGAGGACTAACCACCAACCGCCTCCTTCCTCTTCCACACCCACTTCTAGTCGAGTTCCTTCTCAGTAATCCCGACTGCCAAACATGACCTGTTGCTCTCATTAGCCCTCCAAATGTCTGAATATCTTCAGTTACCTCATGTCTAGAAAGGGAGACCATCCCAGGAAGGATGTCTCTTTGAAAATCCCGTCTCTGCCTTCCTCTCCTCGCATTACCCCTTCGTGCCCTAGTGGGAACCGCAGCACTGGGTCCTGTTACATCCAATATCAAGTCTTTCGGGACAAGAGGCTCTGGCATGTAATCTTCTATTTTGGTCTCTGTCAACTTCAGTGTCATCAACTCAAAGTAATCAAACTCCTCAATGGAAGACGAATCTTTATCGTCAACTCTCGCAATAGCTTTAAACTTGCTTTCCAAGTCATCCCCACAAGAGGATACTATGTCTGCAAACCAGTGAAGGGTAGAGCTAGCACCTTCTGCTTGATCTTGGGGAGCAGATGCTGATGAGATGGAAACTATTGCCTCAGCTGCTATTATGACAAATTCATCTTGCTGTATTTCTAATTCTTGATGCCTTGATAGTGAAAGTTCTTTATCAACCTTCGCTATGCATTCTACATCCTCCTCAATCTCAGGAACTATTGGAGCTTCCAAGTCAATCCCTGTAACTGTCTTCTTTTTGCAATCAGGAGCGGAAGGAGATAAAGCAGCTTCATCTTCACTTACACAAGAGTTCAAGTCAATCTCACATCTATAGTTGGGAACCTTTATAGTATCTTCCTCATTATTGACAAGCTTGACTTGATCAGATGCCTTTTGGGAAAAATCAGCTGCTGCCAGATCATCACAGGGAATGTTCATATCGAACACTATATTTTTTACTTTGTTTCCTGCCTCTTGTTTGGATGGAGGGGCAACGGAGTCACCAGGAGAGCTGAAAGACCAAGACTCTTTCTTGGGAGCTTGTGTATTTTGAAGAATTGGGAAGCCAAGAATTTTCCGGCAACTTGTGGACTCCCTAACTTCAATCGTAGTGGTATCAGGATAAGTAGAATGAGAAGCTAATTTCTTACCATGAAAGGCAGGATGATGGGAGCCCCTAAAATCTCTGTCTGGGAGAACTTTAGAGGAATTCAAGAAACTCAATTTCCCAGCATTGCGAACCGTCTCAGTACTAGTGGCCTCATTTTTGAAAGCCGGATTACCCCTTAGCCAAGGTAAAGAAGAGAGATTATCATCATCCTTTCTTTCCAGATCTATAATCTCAATACCATGCCGGGTAGCCACCTTATTTGATGAACCATTCGAAATTGCCATATTCAAGTTGGGCTTCAAATCCATGTAACTCGAACCTTGATAGAACCTAACTGATGCATGATTGATTAGTTGCTCTTGAGCTGCTGCATTGTCAGCAGTACCACGGTTCACATGTCCATCACTTCCTGAAGGAATAGAAAACTGCAATTCCTTCAACCCTGTAGAAATCCCATGGTAATATCCATTTCGGTTAGACACTTCATTTCCAAATTTATGGTTAGATGCAGAGCTGGTGTTGTTACAGTTCCATCGGTCTCCAAAGATCCCATTGCTTTCAGTTGATGGCCGAGAACTCTTCCTCAATGATGCAGATGACGAATTCAAATGAGGATGCATTTGAACCGAGATACCATTCTGGTTCAAGATTCCAGTAGGCTTTTCCCAAGACAAAGCAGAGTGAGACCAAGACTTGCTCAAATCAGGTGCGAACAGATACGGACTGGATATACTAGAAGCCATAACTGCTTCTCGGTGACAATTATTATTAGAATCGTCGAGACTGCTTTCTGAAAGGTCTAGACCATGACTGCTTCTATCTCTTGACTGATTCTTCTTTTGATCAGTAACTGAAAAATTTGGAGGTTCAAGAGCTCTGTTGTTGAACAAGACCTGCATCGACGGAGAAGATGACAGGAAACTCCCTGTCTCGGTAGCAGATTTGACATTGTTTATAGTATGTCCTGCAACCATGAATGTAAAGTTATGATTATATCATCAATAGTGATGAGAAGGCACTTCAATGTGAACTCCACAGTTACAAATATCTTACCTGCTTCACCTATATGGGTCAACCACTCCTTTCCGTTTCCATCATTCTGACGATCAGGTCTAGTCAAAGGCCTACTATCACTCCCACGATGAGGTATCACATCCAGAGAATCTTCAAGTCGTGACTTCTGCTTACCATCCAATTCTGTGCCTCTAACCTTCACATGGAAAGGGGTAACACCAAGAACACTAACATGATCAGAAGGATTAGTTTCTTCAATCGAAATTGGTTCGTTCAAATCAGCCATACTAGTTTTCCCCCTTAAACGTGATTCATATATTGAACCATTATCCTGGCAATTATTCTGAGTGAAGCCGTTCTTGTTAGTATAACTCGGATTTCCTTCGACCAGCTGATTTGCCTTTTCAAACACATTGGTCGGTGCCCCTTCTTCAGTATCTATGTACTCATTTGCCGGAAGCTGGAGGTCAAACATCTTTCTCCTCACCTTTGTGGGTCTGGACTCCAATATCTCAACATCCTTTGAAGTACAACCATTCTTATTTGGCAAGGGACTGGCATATGTGCTGCTTCCTCTGACGGAACTTAAGGGTGAATTACTATTATCAATGGCAGAAGTAGATGGCCGAGCAGAAACAGAATTTCCCAGTGGAAAGCCAGGGATATGCCATTTCCTAACATCTTCAGATGTAACTTGGGATGCTAAGGGGCTTGATGACAATAATGCCTCGACCTGCACTCGACTTCTGTTTGGTGTTTCCTTCCTTTTAACTTCATCCATCAAGTCCCTTTGTATTCTGTAGAGGCGGTGAAGCTCGTAAAGCTGAATGAAAAGGGAATGAAAATTTGAAATCAACTAGTTTGACAAGCATAAATCATAATCTTAGGTACGCAACACAAATTCAGATATACCTGGTTCCTGAATATGGTCTCATGCTCGAGCATTGTCCGCTTTACTAAGTCCTTATCATAACCTGAATAAGTATCAGTGATTGCCCTTGGCAAGAAACCATTGTAGTACTGGCCATTTGCGAAGGTTTTATCCCCATAATATTGTGGCCAGCTACAGCTGTTAGACTCATCACTAAGATCCCTCATTTGAAAATATCCTGGAATGTAGCTTTCACGCTGCACTTTCGTTCCCATTCCTGGAAGTAGACAAAACGGAGTGATGAATTTCAACCACATTACAAGGAAAGTATTAGCTGCATACAGGAGAATTCCCTCAAAGGACAGTCTTTGATTTCATAAGAAAGAAGTGAAGACTGTTGGAGATAGGTGATATGCTACTGAAAACTGACGCACGGCCACATTGCGATAACTTGTTTACTCATTTCACATGCAAAGAATTCAAGAAGTCTAGTCAACATGTATTTCATTTATGCTAACCTGAGTTTTATTTTATAGGTTATCGATCCAAGCACCATAAGCTTTTGAAGAACCACCTACATGAACAAACCAAAAGGCACCCAAAGACCGTGTATAAGTACACAACTACAAGTCCCCTGCTTTTCCCAGGTCTGGTTCCTATGTGGGAATGGAATCAGCACTTGAGAGTACCAGCACATATTAAGACAACTAGTGTTGAACAAATTCGCATTAACCAAGAAAAAATGGCCAACAAATACCATAAAAATTATATATAAAAAAGCATGGCCAACAGACATTATGGTTATATAACTGAACAAATTTGTCCAATACCTAATTTAGATCCCAAATAACCGATTCCACAGAATTCACTTCATCCCAAATTAAACATTCCTAAAAAAAAGTATGGTTATGTAACCGAACTTATTTGTCCGATATATAAGTAAAACCCAAATCACTAACTCCCATTCGGAGTTCACTCACTAAACATTCGCAACTTTATAATCTCAAACTGATAAATTTTTTATGGAAGTCACTACTGTCCATATCCACAAACATATAAGCTATTTCCCTAATCCAGACGATTCCAGAACAACTCTTCCAAGTGCGGCATAAACTATCAACTAACAGAACTTACAAATTCTGTTGGTGACAGGTGAAATTAATCCCAGACATCAGTAAAACTAGAGCTATTTGCCTATCATCTAGATAAACTGGCTACATTACACTAACTAAAAACTAACACATCTAACACGTGGTGACTTATCCACGTTTTACTGACATAAATCGTCTATCGATCTGCATCTAGCTAAAAAGGTTACAGTGAAATTATTAGGCTAACTGCTACCAGTTACATTACAGTCAGAAATCCTAATCTCAAAATGGTAAGAACTCCAGAGACGGTCTGACAACCTAGTTAGCCCCTTGACCACATACAACCTTAGAAGGAAGTAAAATCAGAACACAATAGACACCATTTCTACCAGCACTCAGGTTGGTAATCTCAAAGCTACAAGACAAACAGAAATATCCCTAGCATACAGAAAAGGAACGCTAGTAACTATTGATCTTTGATATCTCCACAAACTACCTCTGGATGCTAGTAATTCAAAGAACCCCATGACAAAGAACAGAATTTGAAAGAGTATATTAAGCAAGTATGAGCAACTGCAAAACCAGAATCTAAATTAAGACATTCAAGAGTGAACAACACTGATCCTCTAAAAGCATACAGTCTTAATTAACAAAAGATCGTTAGCAAATATGAGCAGTAGAACTGCCCCCAGCTTTCCAACAGAAACTTCTAAAACCCCACACATCAACGAATCCTATTGGCAACCAAGGCTGACCAGAAGAAACAAACAAACACAAAAAGGAAACAAAATCAGACGCCAAAACTCAGTGAACCTAAGCATGAGATTACTGGAGAAGAAAATTGCATACTCTGAATTGCCCACAATACCTCAACCCTCGACCCAAATTCACCAAACTGATAACAGATACCAAAACCCACCCCCAAAAGAAAAAATTAAAGCAAAGCCCAATTGACAAAATCATTAAACAAAACAAATTATACCCACAAAACATTCTAATTAGAAAAGAACAAAATCAGATAACCCATAAGAGGAAAAATAATATTACCTCAGACCCGCATCCTCTTTCTATCCCCCTCTTTCCCCTCAAGAAACCTACAAGCATACAATCATTTGACAGCCCCAACTTCTACATCAGACAAACAAAAATTCCAAGACTCTCTCCCAGGAGACTGGCACTATCAGAGAAAAGTTAGGAGAGAAGAAGAAACAAAAACGAGGGGGAGAGGGAGAGGGAGCTCAAAGGAGAAGAGGAAAAGCAAAAACAAAGAGTGGGTACTGCTCTGATGCCATTGAAGGAGCTTAGATCGTCTCCCCCCAAATTGAACAAAAGGAGATTTCGATCTGCTGGGCCACTATTCCTCCCTTTTCTCTCTCTATCCCCAAGTCTCTCACTTTCTCTCTCAACAACAACACCAGCAAGCAGCAACAACAACAAGGGGAAAGAAAGGGGGAAAAGGAAGGAAATGATATTTAGAGAGAGAAAGGCAGAAAGATAGTATTTTTATTTATGTAAGAGAGAGATAGAGAGGGGGGGGGGGGAGAAGAGAGAGATCCCAGATAAGAAATCTTTTTACACAAACGAACGACCTTCTAAGAACAGTGACACGAAATTTGTCAACATCCGGTCTCTTTTTATTCTCTGCTTTTTCTCTCCATTTTTTCCCTCAAATCTCTCTCTCTTTCTCTCAACTCTCAAGCATTCATTTCATTTTCCCATTATTTATTTTGCTACCTTTTAATTTTATAATGATATATCTCCATTTTATAATTTCTGGATTTTTAAGGAAAATTCTAAGGATATGGGATTTCTAGATTCTCTCCACCTTCCCTGCCATTGGTACCGCTACTCTTAAAGCTATTTATTATTTCTTTTTTTTTTTCTTCCTTTCCTCTGGTTTTCTTTTGTTTTGGATTTTGTATTCATTTTTCAATCACCATAAAAGCGTGAATTCATCCATGTAAGTTGTGTGACTGTGTGAGATTACCGGAATAGTAAATTCCATAAACAGTAAACAGTATCTTCTTCCTTTTCTTATGAATGCTCTTAAACAGCTATTAATTATAATTGCCCTCTCATTCAAAGTTAAACATGCACCCATAACGGCTTGCTACAATTCAATTATTCTAACATTAGTGGATATTATCTAAAAAATCTAATGTTTTCTTAAGGTAAACTTAATAACATAAAAAATTAAAAATAGTACGATTCATGATTATATTGTATGTGGAGGAGGTATCTTGCTCAGACATAATCATTCATCTACTTATTATATGGTAGGCATCAATGCTTTGAGGCACAACTTACATTTGTACTATAATGTAAAGGTTTGAATTTCGTTTGTAATAAAAGTACAAATTCAATTTATACCATAAAAATATTTAATTTTTGTAAAGGAAAATACCATTACTTATAAATATAGTAATAGAGCTCATATACAAATTAAATGTATATCATAACGTACAAAGATTTTATAATACGTGCACTAATAATAATGTCCTTTGATATGAAGGGAAGGGGCTTGTAAAGATACATCATCTTGGATATCATCTCGTACTAACGCTCTAATAATTAGCATTCATTTTTCAAATAATATATTAGATTTTCCACACAATAAGAAAATCAGTGGAAAGCTTTTAGGAAAAATACTAAAGTGGATGGAAATATTTTGCTTCTTCTTTTGAAATCGAACTATTTAGCAAAAAATAAAATGAAAGCTATGAAAATGAAACAAATGATTTAACAATTAAAATTAAAACTGAAATGAAAGTGTTTTTAACATAGTTAAAGAGTCAAATATAGTTATAAAGAATACAGGTACAATTCATGATAGTTGACTAATAGTCAAACTCTCGATAAAAGATCTTTTGTGCTACAGGATGAGCATCCCTATTGAAGCAACATGGAGCAAAACAATATGAAACATATTGAAACTGAGGCGACAGCCTGCCAATATCTTCTAAGGTGGCTCCTCCCAAATCATGTGAATGCTCGCCCCGATATCACCCATCGAATGACCATTTGAGAATCGCTATGAAATCTAACAGATAAAACACTGAGTTTGGCAATAGTTCATAGATTCTCGCAAAGCCAATAATTCCATTAAGAAAGGGTCATGTGTACTTTAATAATATTGCCCAAACGCAAAGATTAACTCCTTTGTGAAACTGAAACCCACGAATCATGAACCACCACCATGGTTATATTTCAGCGAGCTATCAAACCAAAATCCTAGTTGTGGTACTTTGCAAGGCAATCCACGTCCCCATTGTGCTACAAACCCTATATTTTGTTCCTCTATTGCCTCCAACCTTCGAGCTATCAACTGTTGACCTTGTTGCTGCCTCGGTCAGCTCCTGTCGCAACATGCCACTCATCTACTAGGACATGAAACTGACAAAGAAGAGCGCAAGGAAGATATTGAATGCCTCCATGGACCAAACATCGCCTACCTTTCCATATACGCCAACACAAGAAGACTATGTTAGTTATGGCCACTTTAGATAAGTGAAGGGGGAAAATATCATCTTCCATGCATCATTAGAAGAAAGAACCACCAAATGTCTTTGAATGTGGTGCAAATTAGCAAGCCTTCAAAGGCCATAAGCAATCCTGCACTAAAAGAAACAACGGAAAAAGGACTCTGGGCCATTAGAGCAAATTGGGCAACCCATTGTGGATACCAGAGTTTTATTTAATAGAACAGTCTCCAATAAAAGAAATCATCACACAATTCTCCAAATGAAAAACTTCAGTTTTGGAGGAATTGGTAAATTCTATAGAAGTTTATTGAACCTGTTATCAAAAGAAAGAGCCACATGAGGGTTAACTGTAACTGAGTGGTTAAAATATGATAGCTTGTTTTCATTGTATATTTGCTAGTCTTTGCATAGTACCATACAAGACGATCTTCGTGAACTGAAGAGGAAAGGGAATATCAAGAATGTACAAGAGGAACATTCCATATATGAGATTATGTGAAAATCAAATAAGCAACCAACCGAGGAGAAGATACAATACCAGTAAAGGGCTAGGGGAAGATGGAAGTGATGAAGGCAACCACACATCCTCCAGCACCCAAACTAACGTACCAGAGCCAATATGCCAATGGAGGCCACTCTTCAACAAGTCCCTACCCTTAAGGATGCCTCGCCATGTCCAAGAAGATCGATAACCAGTAGTGGCATCTAAAAGATGATGGTATAGGATGGTACCTCACTTTATACGTTCACGCTAAGCAACTTTATGTGTTCTGTAACAGTCGCCAAGCTTGTTTCGCCAATAATGCCACATTTAACCTTTCAAAGTACCTAAATCCTAATCCACTCTCAAACTTACTTTGGCAAATAACACTCCATGACACCTAGTAAATACCATCCTCATTATCTTGTCTTGCCCACCAGAATCATGACAATTGACTATTACACATCCGATAAATCTCATATGGCAAACAGAAGGATGACATAGCATAAATGTGGCCAGCAATCCTTACTCCCTTGATGACAACCTCTTTAGCAAATACGAACATTGCTTTGCTTTTCCAACTTCAAATTAGGTCGATGGTGCATCCTCAAAGAGCCGAAATGTGATAGTTTTGATCGATGAACTTTAGATGGAAGTCCAAGATACTTATCATCTGGTACCATTATAGAGACACTCGCAAAGAAACTTATGGCATTCAGCTCTTATTGGGAGAGATTTCACTAACACATACTGCTGATGGAGGTTAATTCGTCGACAACTAACCAACTCATAGTCATGCAACAGTTGCATTGTATTAGCACATTATGGTATTGATGCTCTTATGAAAATGTAGGAACCATCGGAAAAACATATATGAGAAGTTAGCAGTGCAAACATGTGAACTCTGAGTCCGTTGAGGGGGGAGGAAGATATTGCAGCACTCAACTTTTCTGAGAATGCCTCTATATACAACACGAATAACAAAGGAAATAATGGGTCACCTTATCGAATTCCACGTTGATGTTGGAAATAGTCATATTAAACTCCATTAATGAGGACCGAGAAGTGCACAGTGGTAATAAAATTACAACTTAGCTGAAAATAAGAGGAGGGGGGATAGCATATGAAAAATTGGGAATTGACCACCCAACCTCTTACCCATATAATAGTGACTATTCTGCGAGTATACCTCTTCAACTATTGTAGTTGTGGAAAACATTTTATATAACCCATTAAATAGTCATAGCAAAATTCATATAAGCAATATAATAACTTCCTAGAAATTTAGAAGATTAGTTTCTTGTTGGATTTGACAAATGAATTTTTTTACCAATTTTTTGGTTTTGCAAAACGAAGGACTGGTAATGAATTTGGGTCAATGTGGATTTGATTTTTTTTGTTTGCCTGTTGGATTTTATGAAGAATTTTATTGAATATTTATGGATTTAAAATAGAATTTACCTAGCCACTCTTAACAAATTAGATATTTATTTTTATTAGGAAAAATATTTTTTGGGATAATGGGGTCAAAATTTGTCCGATCAAAAGGGGGTTTGCTTCAATATTGAGTGTTAGGTAAATTCTATTTTGGGATATCTAGCCCCAAAATTTGTCATGGCATTTACCTTGGTAGGTAGAAAGGAAAACACAAGTCCTAGGAGATCCTAGAGTCATATTCCACGAGATCTTTTGATAGTAACTACTCAAACCAAACCTAATATGGTCGAGTTGTAATGCAATGCAAAGTAAATAAAGAGGGTTTAGGTGCCCTAATTCGATATACTAGACTACTAATACAAGTAAATGAAAAGCAATGAAACGTGATGTTTATGTAGTTATTCTAGATGATCATGCATGCAATCTCCTCAATAAGATGAATCTATGCATAATCCATTATGATGCCATATTCCTTCCTCTAAGATCATTCTCTACATGTGCATGCACCTCTAACATAGAGATTTTACTAGCTAATGTGTGTTTTGGCTTCATGCCATCACCTAGTCAATGAAGACTAATGAAGTTAGGATAACATATGATTAAGTGTGGCCATCTACAAGTTATAATCGATGGTTTATAGCATCGATGATCTAAGAATCAAGCATCATCCTAATTCGTGTATAGAAGGGTAGCTAGTCCTCACATACACGCCTAAAGAGCATGACTACTACATGAGCTTAGTTTCCTTGCCTCCCATGATAGTAGTATAAACAATGCATATAATAGCACTAATAGTAAACTCATACGCATAAAGTAATTAAAATATTATATGATGTAAAGCATCAATGATCATACACAAGAAAATATTAACACATCTAGAATACAATAAAACATCTAGGTGGAACTCAAAGCCTTGACAAGAATAGAGCAATATACCCTTTTCTCTCTTCCTCACAAGCTCTCATGCTAAAGAAAGAAACTACACAACCTCACTAACACTCCATAATATTTGTTAGACTCATTATACACAAATTGTTCCTTTCTATGACAATTGAAGGGGCAAAACTGCCAAAGAAGGAGTCCTTGTACAAAATACTGGAAAAAGATGTGTCTAAAAGCTCTAGCATAACCTCCTATTTGTACTAGTTACAGAAGGAGTTTTCTAGTCTTTTTCCTCCAAAATTCGCCCAAAACCGTCCTTGTACGACTTCAATTCGGATTTCTTCAACTTTTGGACAAAGTAACTTGCTGAGGAAGACTTCTAGAAGCTTAGGGCACGAGCAGCGACCTCACGGCGATTGGACCCGTCGATGGACT